CAATGTTAGACAGCCTTCTCAGAGCAGCTGGGAAGCCTGAAGGCTGACATGCTTTGGGCAGTTCAGACTTGCAGGGGAAGGTCTCATGCACAGATTTCCAGCTTGTCACCTGCATGTTCCTTCCGTGCTCTGTTGCATGAATGGTCTCACTGTTGCAAGGTGTCCAGGTCACAATAACATTCCCCTCTTATCCTTGCTTCCATCTTAAGAGTCACTTGGGCAGTTATTCAGTTACGGATTGTAATGATGATACAGGAATAAGCAAACATCTCTGTTGCTGTTGTCATAAATACAGATGTGTCTTCCAGTTTATCAAATCTGCCTCATCCTCCTTTTGTCATAGGTGTTGCTCAGGCATTGCCTTCTGCTATGGTGCTCTGCCTTTTAGTTTTTCTGCATGTAATGAGTGATGGGGTAAAACCAAATGGCAGATAATTTAAGGTGTTAAGAAATCCATGCTTTAAATCTTTATCATTTCCACAGGTATCAGTGTGAGCAGGAGGGCAGGCAACTCCAGGCTTGAGTTAGTTACAGTGTGTGTGACCCACTTGCCTTACTGTGGCTTTGATCTCCCTTCTGGCAGTGCCCTGTCTGACACTGAGCCTGGCATGTCCTGCAGTAGCACACCTGTATCTTTCTGGCTCCGCCACTGGTTTGTTGTTTAATACTTTCCCCGTATGGAAGTATTAACCAAACCTCAGGCTTCTCAACCTCATGTTTTCAGTCTTGTGATCTCTCTCATATCCTGACTTTGAAAATACGCTTATGCGTTAATAGAACCCTATCCAAGGTGTGGAGCCTCTTTTGAAGCTTGGTTTTTGATGCCTGTAACAGGTGTCGGTTTTAATAGGTTTGCTGTATTAAGGCTTTCTTTTTTTCAGCGAGCCCCGCCAGCTCTGTAAGCTGACACTGCACGAAGGCCGAGCATGTGCCTTCTCCATGTGTCACTTCACACTCCGCATTTGTGCCGTAAGTCAAGCCTAATGTAAAGCAGGAGGTTTTGTGCTGCTGTGTTTAAGTCGGTCGGAGCAGAGCTGCTCACACAGTCCCATCTGAGGGGCTGCTTGCTTTGATTTTTTGCTGTCAGCTTTCTAATTGGCAGCGTGGCTCCCACAACAGAGGAACGTGTTTGCACTGCTCTCTGCATCGATCTCGCAGGAGTAGTTTGAAGCCACAGTCTAAATTAAACTGATCAGTGTACTCCAAGGGATGGGCTTGCTGTAAGGAGGAAGGTAAATTCTTCTCCTATTAGATTGAGTGAAAAATGTTCCACAGCCTGTTTATCAAATAAATATTCACAAAGACGCTCCGAACTTGGAAACCCACTGGGATTAAAGTGTAACTTTACCTCTAAAATACAAGCTGGGATTCCTGGAAGCGCTGTGAGCTTTTGACTTCGTGCCACCTGTTGTTTTCCTGCCGCCCCCTTCGGCTCCCTCCTGACCCAGAGCAAACCCAAACATGCTTTACTGCACAGGACCACTCTGCTTGTTTTTGTGCCTCGGAGCAGCCTGGAGAAGTGCAGAGCAATCATTTGCTTCCTGATGTGCTCCACGTGGGCTCAGTTCAGCGAATGGCTGGCTGAGGTCAATCCAAATCTGTAATCCCCAGGGCTCTTTTGAAGAGCTGTGTGGGGCTGCAGCATTTTGGGATGCTGGCAGGGTAAGTGGTGCTGCCTGGGGGTTGGTGCCCCCTGCACTCACCTTTCTGTTTGCAGCTGGAACTAGTGCTGCACACAGTGCTAAAGCCATCCAGCACTGACTTCGAATTACCTTCATACAGCACTGACAGCTGCTTCAGCTGCAAATGGGATGTCTCCAGGAGCGAGGGTGGAATACAGCTATTATTGGAGCTGTCCTCATCCATGAGCAAACCCAGATGGGTTCCTCAGTCCCTAGCATTTATTTTTCACTTGAGCTACTTTTACTCCAGATCCTTTCTCAGGGCAGCTTGCAGCATCTTAGTCTGCCAGTGCATTCCTGTACAGATGGATAACCCAGTGGCAGAGAGGGGTTAAGCAACTTATCCAAGGCAGATGAGTCGGTGCCAGAGCTTCGAATAGAAACTAAGAGCCTTGGCTCCTACTCCTGGCTCTCATTGCTCAATCTCTCTTTGAAGCCTTGTCATCTTACACTCTGAAGCTAATGCTGGCTAAAGAGAAGCAGGGAAATTTGTTTCCAGGCTGTGATACCTAAGAAGAAGGGGAGTGGAGAGAGGAAAAGACACCTGGAGGCAAAGTGGTTGTGGAAGCAGCAGTAATTTCTGCTTTAAAGCCTGGTTCAGCAATTGGTACTAAAATCTGATCTGCCACCTTTGAAGCCGTGGAAGTGTAAACTAAGGAGCTAGTCGGTACAGACCTAGCCCTCTTCCAGTCGGAGAGAGGCAATCATAGCTTTGTTACTTATCTTTTTTCTATAAAATACCCTTGTGGTGGGATTAGGAACAAGGAAGACAAACTGAAAGAAACCAAGTAGCAACAGGAAGGGTTAAATCACCTTTTAGCTCTTCCTGAAAGAACAAAAAATGTAATCAAGCTAGTAAAAGATTTGACCGACACTGCATTCGTATCACATGCTTTGTATAGGAAAAGTCAGTGGGGCTGGTTTTGTTTGAAGAGAGTGCAGTGCTTTGCAGCAAACTGTCTGACATTCCCCAGCTGGGCTGGCTGGGATGCTGCTTGGAGCTGAGCGTTCTGTTTGGAGCCAGCCCATGTTTGAAGGAGATGGAGAGAGGCAGAGAACGAAGGCTGGTTTATTCCTGCCTGAAATAATGCATCCATCTCATCTGCCAGCTGTAGCATGAGAAAAGCAAGATGCAAATGGACAGAAGGCACCTGGAAACTGCAAACATGGCTGAATGAATACAGTTTTTTTCTGCCTTCCTGAAACTCTGTCCTTTGGGAAGGGCTGAGAGCTCTGGCAGGCAGACTGGATATATGTTGAGTAACTAAAGCACAGAAATATTAATACTCCAAAAAAATAACATTGGCTTCTGAAGAGCATTTCATGTCCAAACTCACTCAGTGCTCTCACTCCCTTACGGACTTAGCTGCCCTGTGCTGGAATTGTCAGGTAATTTATAGATTCTTCATGTTCATTTGTACAAGCCTTCATTTCCTGTTAATTTACAGCCAGATTCAACTCAGCCATCACAGCCCAGATGAGATCAGAGTTGAACTCGCAGCCGCTGCTTCAGCAGAACTCCAGAGAGCATGCTTGGGGTTTGCTTTCACTTAGGTCTGCTCTGAGGTACTTCCCTGAACCAGGTCACACGTGCTCATTTATTGCACTCTTATTTTGGGTAGGAAAAAAGATTGAAATTTTTGAACTTGCCCATTTTGCTTATTGAGGCCTTGCAACATAAACTAGTCCTGATGGAAATCTGCCTTACCCACGTGTTGGTTTATGGAGGTCACAAAAATGTGGATCTAGTGAGTTTTCCTGTGTTTTAATCATACTATTAACAAATTCACTGGAGCTCTGTTCCACTATGTGCTGTGGATGTGAAAATTCAGTCCTCCTTCCTCGCTGTAAAGGAATACAGTCATTTGGATAGTAGCCACATCATTCCCTTTTCTACAGCTGGTGTGCCGGTAACCCATGCACTAACCATTTGGGGACATAAGTTACGACTTCTCTTTGATTTTCCTGGGGCCTTTTTGCACCCTATTAGCAGAGCGTTGCTGTAGCGTTGTAAAATTTGTCCTTAATGACTTTGCGAGCCTGCACTGCATTAACTAAGGGGCATTTCAACCTTTTAATCAAAGCAGCGTTTCTGTGAGTTTCTGGGGAGCGAGTCCATTGCCATGTGCTGTGGGTATTTCCTTCTCTTAGCAAGGGGCTGTGCTCGCACATGGGACAGCCTGAGCAGGGCTGAGGTGGGAGGAGAGTGGCTCCCCAGTGCATTGAAGGCTGTGCCAGGTTCATGGGGCAGGGGTGGATTTCGGGCAGCTGATGCTTGGCCAGGAAAGCTGGGCCATCCCGGTTTGCATTCAGGAGTGCGTTCACTGGCGGCTATCTCTGCTGGCTGTGCAGCAGGGTGGCAGCCTGATCAAGCCACGGTACTTGTCAGAACCCACTCTGCTATCTCTTATTATTCAGCAAGTTCTCAAGTGTCTGGTGAGTGTCTCTGTTTGGAGTGCCTCGCTCTCAGCCTTGCCAGGAATATCAGTGACTGGTCTAAATTCACATCAGGCATGCGCTCTGCTTCTTGTGACTAATGCACTATGTATTTTTTTTAATTGGTTACTGTTCTCTTCACTGATTCAGACCGGAAAGGAACCGGAGAAGAGGACAGGGGATTTTTTTGCTTTGTTGAGTCCAGATGAAGTCTAGAGGTATTGAACTGTTTGGTGGCTGTGGAAATCCCAAGGACAGCTTGCAGTACTTTCTCTAAAGAAAAGCATTAAATGAAGTCATTCAATCAGTGCTGCTGATGAGGCAGCAAATGCAGGTGGTTGTTACAGGGTCTACTTCCATAGTCAGTGCCTGGGCTGAGCACGTGGTGCTGCAGTCACCCTGATGGTGCACTGGGTTAAAGGTAGTGAAAGATGAGGAAATGTTTGCAAGAACAAGCCCTCGTACACTGTTTCTGTGTATTACAAATCACTGTAATGTAGTTCAGTGCTGAGTGTTTTCAGAAGGGTCCTTAGGAATTAGGGAAGCAATATTTCGTAACTTTTCCTGAGATCCTTTATATTTATGTGTTTCCTCTGCAGACAGCTCTGAAAAACTCATCCTTTGTGTAAAGTACTGGCAGTAACAGAGAAAGTGTCCAGAAACCTCCAAATGTATGTTCCCTGCTCATTTTAGTTGTAGGAACAACATGGGGGTTAGGGAAGTTATCTCTGGTGTGGATTTCCCCTATAATAGGCTTGAAGATGTGCTTGCAACCACTGTGTGTGACCTCAGTGGCCAATCTGCCGGCCTGCTGCAGCTTCAGATATTCTTATTTATCCAAGGGAACTAAATTGTCTCCATTTCTCCTCCTGACCGTTTCAGGCATCACAACAGGATACGCAGCATTGAAGCAAGTCAACTGAAGCCCTACGTTGCCCTGGAAACATTGGACCTGAGTTTCAATGACATCACGGAAATCCGAAACGGCTGCTTTCCACAGGGACTTCACATAAAGGAGCTGTGAGTTTCTCTTGTTGGGAACGGCTTTTGTTGAGTTACCACAGCACAGAAAGGGGCCTCAAACCTCTTCTTTTAAAAGAAGGGAAAGGAACGACTCAAAATGCATGGAGTTATTTGTAAGTTTTTTAAGTGCAAAGGAGAATCGGATTGTTCCCGCTGTGAGGTTATTTATTGGGCTTTTTGGTTTTGTTTTCTGATATATCTGTAAAGAACACTGAATACTAGTTGTGTTGCATAGGAATCTCGCAGCAAAGTTACAGCATATCCATCAGGTGTGGGTGCCTTTCTGCTGAAGACCTAGAAGCCAGAGCCACTGTGCAGAGCAGTATCTTCCCTCGTGTCCTGCTGCTTCCCAGATCAGCCCATTTGCATCTGGAAGAGTGGAGGGAAGAAGGATTATTTTGTCATTACAGTTAAAGTGGCTATTGAACGTTAAGAACAGAAATCTCTCCTTAGTTATTTGATGTAAGCAGGGGGTGAAGCAGATTAATGCCCTCCCTACAGAGCTTTTTCCCTGTTCTAAAAAGCTGTTTTAGGTACTTTCGGAAAGATCTGTTTGCATTAAAGTTTGCACAGAAGTTTCTGCCCTGGTTGTAAGAAAATAGAAGATAGAGGTCTTTTGACTTGTAGGAACAGCCTCTGTGGCCAAGAGGAGGGTCTAAGAAAGAAAGAGCCCTGTGACAGATGCTGAGGAAAGAAGCTTAAGAGATGGGGAATGGATGGAGTAATCTTGCAACGCAATGTTCTCTAGTTTCTGTCTTCTGCTCTGAAGTATTCTACATTTTTTGAAGTAGGAGGGTATAGAGAAGGTCTCGGAGATCGCACGGCACATCTCCACTTTTGTTGTATGGCTCTGGGAAAGGCACTGTGTTTCTTGTGCAGCCAGAAATCCAAACCACCTCTGTAATTCCACCAGCTTGTCTGGAGAGCAACTAAATGCCGATAGAAGGAGATTTCTAACAGAACTGTTCATTTTTCTGCTGTGATTTATTGCAGCTACCTGGGGAGCAACAGAATCAGCACCCTGGAGCCTGGTGCTTTTGATAGTCTGTCACGGTCCCTGCTAACACTTCGTCTGAGTAAAAACAGGATCACTCAGCTTCCTGTCAAGGCATTCAGGCTGCCCAGGCTGACACAACTGTGAGTAGAAATGTGTGCTTTAATTAAGCTCGGTCCTTCTTTATGGAGACAAAATATCCCTGGGGAAGCATGCACCAAATGTCACCCTTCCTCACTTGCTGTCTGTAAAACTTAGAATGTATTCTCAGTCCTCTGCCAGCACCTAGTGAAACATATTGGAAGAGGGTCCTTTTTTTTCCTCTAACTCCTGACTTCTTGGGCCATTCTTTTGATGAAGTGAGAAGCGAGCAGCAGCATCTTGTGCAGTGATAGCATAAAACAAATCTGTTCCCTTGAAAACTGCTGGTGTCTGTGAGGTTTGGAAGATGTGTCTGTTGCGAGTGATAGAGCTCAACCACCACGTTAGGTTTTCAAGACCACACAGGTATCTTTATGTGGCAATAAAAAAGCAATGACGGAAGGTTGTTAAACTGTGCGGTGGTATTTGGGCAGAGAAAATAACACTCTAGATGAGTTAACACACACATCGTTATTGTCCTGCCTGCAGTCTGCATGGCAGGAGCTGCATGGAGGCACATGGACATCTGCAGCTATAAATATGCTTTATGGTGAATAGCAGCTCTAATGGCTGAACTTTTCCCGTTTGCTTTTTCTGCTGGAGGAATGGTCCCAGCCTGAGGCCTCATGCAGTTTTTCCATCACATTTGATAGGTGAAAGTTCAGCCTCTGTCTATTAACAAAAACTCCACAAAGGCTGTTGGAACTCACACCTCTACATGGCAACCTTTTGACTGACCAGATCTTTAAGATGTGCCTAATAAATGGATGTGCATTTGTGCTTGCGTATGTGTAGGATTCACTGTCAGTTTGGGATTGTGTAGCACAGCAGCGTCTTAAAAGTCTGTTGCCTCTCAGTTGGAAGTTGCTGTCCGTTAGCAGAGAGCTTGCAATACGCTGTGTTTGCGCTGTGTGCAAAAGTGTAATAAACCAAAGGTCAACTCAGTTTGTGTTTTCACTGAAATTCAGAGTGATTGGTTTTCTTAGACTCTTAAGACAGTCTCACAGCTGGTTGTTTACTGTGTAGATAAACAGGAATGAATAGCAATTTATACAGACTGGATATGTTGTAGAATCTGTTGTGTACAGTTCTTTTTCTGGCCAAGCAGAGTTCAGTAATAGTCTAGGAAGTATATTCAGGCAGCAGTCTTTATGACTGAAAACTTGTCATCACTTACTTGACTTTAATTACTCTACTTCAGTGCAAATTCAGCATTGTTATTTTAATGCAATTAAAAAGTAAGCTTTAAGTTCCCATTTTCCTCATTTTTCCAAAATAATTTCTGATGCTGTAACCTTCATTGTTTTATTCAAGACAAACACTAAATAGGGAAGCCACCCTTGGATCAACTGTTCAAGTGCAAAAAGGTGTTTCATTTGAGAAGCTTTGTCTTCAGTGCATTGTGTCAGTGAAGTTCTTTACTGATGTTATGGTACTGGAATTTCAGCTGGCATGTCTGACAGTCCACAGTGCTATCCCACATGGGTTGGTGAAGAGTGCTGTGGTGATGTTTGTATCATTATTCTGGAGATAAAGAAAAAGAAAGTATTCCCAAGACTTAGAGTTTCTGCCACACTCAATGGAGAAAAAGAAAAGGAAATTTAATGAAGCAAGTTGAAGATTGTTGTATAAGTGGAATACTAAGACTGCCTTATTATTGGAAACAAGTTGTTCCAGTCTTTATTAGTTTCTTCTAACAGGAAAAAAAAACAGGATTTTTTTTTTTTTAGGGGAACTGAGAGCTTTCTTTTCTAACTTTGTCATAAAAACCTCCACTTGGGCTTCATACAGCACCCATTTGTTTTGGAGCACGTTTTTACAGGGCCATTAAAAAGTCCTGCAAAACCCTGGATTGTAAGGAAGAAAATGCTGATGTTTCATTGTGTTTGCTCAAATGGTGTGAAAATTGGTGAGAAGGATAAATGGCTTAAAAGATATTCAGAGAAAAGAGGGTTGAAGAAGAATTGCAGCCCTGTCTGTGTTATTTCTCTGTAGTGAAAGTCTGTCCCAGGGTGAGTTTGTTTAACAGATGACACCCAGCTGACTTCCCAGGCTAGCTCTGGGATTGAAAGTTTCCGGTGCGCTTCGCTCTCTCCTGGGAACTGTTGATGGAGGAGTTGTTGGCATTGCTGTCCCCATTGTATGCTGCACAGATGATTCTGTGAGAAAGGACTGGGATTTAATATACTTGTATGGCTTTGGCAATTTTAGGGAGCTGAACCGGAATCGCATCCGCCTGATTGAAGGCCTGACGTTCCAGGGACTGGACAGCCTGGAAGTCCTGAAACTCCAGCGCAACAACATCAGCAAACTGACTGATGGAGCTTTCTGGGGGCTGGCCAAGATGCAAGTTCTGTAAGTTGGAAAGCTACATTTTTTTTCTCCCAAACAGCCTGAACTTCACCTGTTAACGTGTTCTTCTATTTAGCGGAGACCTGTGGGCAGGGGTGCCAGTCTTCATGTTTCTTTCTGTGTCCTGCACACATAGATCTCTGCAATGCTGCAGCAGCCTTTGTTTGACCCACTGTCAACTCACTGCTCTGCTGGGCGTTCGATAAAAAATCCTGTCTTTCAAGCTGTGGCAGTATTCCTTTGTAAGTTCACCAATTTGAACATTCAGTAAGTTCTCAATGGGGCTTTAAATAAAAGTTCATCTGGCTCCTGTACATTTCTTTCAACTGATACATGGAAACTATGTGTTGCAGACCTGGTTATTCTGCCTCTGGGGAGACCTAGAAACTAAGCTGGTTTAATCTCAGTGATGCGTTCTTTCCGTAGGAGAGAGCAAATAGAACAGTCATTGCAGAGAAATGCTCAAAACTTGCAACATGATTGGCTTTCAAGTGTGTTTGCAAAGTCACAAGTGATCAGTATGTTTCTGGAAGCTGCTGTCACACAACTGAGACTCTGCAAATACAAACTTGAATGGGATGCTTAGCCCAATTTACATGCAGTGGAGCGTACCACTGCAGTCACACCTCGTTCTGGGCTCTAAGCCTCAGAACATACCGGCTTGGCAGCTTGTGGTTGTGTGCTGGTGGCAGAGAGTGTTCTGCCTTTGTACTGAGAGGCTGCGTGGGGCTGCATATGGTAGAGGGCTTTGGGCTAAGTGAAGACCTTAGACCTTTCCCTTGTGTTGCCCTTGAATTTCTATCCCTCACTTGCACAAGAAGTGCCTACACTTGGGTGTATCCACATAGGTATGTAGAAATGTGTGCAGGCATAGCTAAAATACCACTACTTCTTGAAGTTTCTTCATTTTCTGAAATTCTTCAGCGTTTGATCAGTACTTGCACATCTGTCATTTCCTTCCAATTTTTCTCCACAGGCACCTGGATTATAACAGCCTGACAGAAGTAAACAGTGGCTCACTCTATGGCCTTTCATCTCTCCACCAGCTTCACCTCAGTAACAACTCTATATCCCGCATCAACCCTGATGGCTGGAGCTTCTGTCAGAAGCTGCATGAGCTGTACGTTGTTTCCCATTGTGGTTGTTCAGTCAGAATTTGATGCTAATGTAATGCTGGCAGGCAAGGGGAGTAAGGACTCCACAGCTTCCACTGTGTAAATATGTAGAAATGCAGGAACTGCAGTCTCTAAGTGATGCCCTTGTTATTCATGATGTTATGACCTTCACAGCACCTGTTTAAAATACTTCTGCACCAGAAACAAAGGTTAGAATTGACTGAAAGTATGCAGTGCTGAAAAACATGGAGAGTTTGTGACCTGTGGCTTAGCAGTGCTTTTTATTTATCTAGTTAGGAGACATGCTGCTTGTTGTGTGACTGTACAGCCTAAAGGAAGTTTTGCATTGTCCTCTGTATTTACAAAGAACAATCTTGTTTTTAGCTAGCACAGATTTAGGTCTTTAAAGGCAGTTCTCCTACTTTCTCCTATTTACACTTCACCCTTCCTATTAGATTCAGTTGTTAAGAGGTAAATGCATTGGCTTTGCTCTCCTGAGATTTCCAGCTGTGAATATGGTCTCTCTGATAAATGAAAGAGACCCTTGCTGTTGTGGAAAACCCCACAAAGGGTGTCTTTGGGGTCTGTGGCACTGCTTAATGCCTTTTTGAAGAGACACACATGGATGCTTCCAGTACTTACAGAAGTAGCTGTCATCCCCTCGGTGGGACTGTGGATAGATTAACTTTTTTCTCTGGAGGACTTGACACATGTGGTTAGTGGAACTGTAATTCATTCTGCTTGATGCTTGAAAATCTCTTGTTAAATATTGTTAGGGATTCTCCTCCACCAAAGAGCGCAGAGCTCACTGTTTTCAGTGGCTAGCTCAGGACTCAGACTAGAGGTCTCTATCTGCCTATCCAGCTGTGAGTTCCTCTTCTGTTGGATTTGGATTCAAAGTTAACTGGTCCTGACACATGTGGTTCCACTAAGTTTAGAAGCTCTTGAATAAATATTGTTGCACACTGACCAACTGTGATATTCTGTTAAACCCAAATTATTCATTCAGATGTGGATTTTTCTTTTTGGCACAGGGCAATATTTTTGTTGTTAGTTGAATACATATGTGATTGTTTAATTAACTAATTTTTCAAACTGTTGTGAAATTGTCCATGCCTGAAGGGTTCTTTTGCTTGGCCTGGTGCTACAGTTCCTTCACATGCAGATTGGCAACTGATATTTTTCTAGGTTAAGGTAGCATCAGTGCAGAAGTTTTCAAGGCAATGGATCAGAAACAGAACTGTGCTCTGTCCATGGCCTGCTTAAATCTGAAGCATCAGAAAAGGGGAGTCTACATTTCTAAGGCTCTAAGGCACTCGGCTGGATCCCTGGAACAGCCAAATTTGGATCACTACACTGCCATAGTAATGTAGCTCTGGGAGCTTTCTTCTCTCAGAGATCCAATATCCAGTGGCTGTGTTGAAGCTGTATTTCAACATGAGTTCCAGGGGGATGGGTAAGTCCGTCTTGCAGAGCTTACATCAGAGCTCCTTTAGGGAGAAACATGCTTGTCTCTTCTACCTCACATTGTCTTTGCAAACCCTTCAGGTTTAGCTGAGAAGTTGCACGTGGTGCTGGATCATTATGTATCCAGTATGGATTGGGATCTCCTGCAGAGAGTGGTGAGCTGTTCTGGCTTAGAGGCTTTTTCAATAACCATGGAACCCACCATGCAGAAAGGCCTCACATGCTCTGGTGCGGAATGGAGCAGGTTTGAGAAAGGCCTTGTGGAGGTGGTAGGAGGCACTGAGGCATGCTTGGCCCAACAGGCAGGATTGCACTAGTGTGAGGCCAGAGATGACAGTGTTAGCTGAGATTGGGAAGGCGATTATGTGGGTGTTAGCACACATCTCTGCAAAATATTACAGGCTGTTGCAGGTGTTGCCTTTAGGGTAAGGCTGCTGCAGAGAGCCATCAGATACTCATAACTGAAACTCCCACAGCAAAAGAGTAGTTGTAGGAGAGGTCTGCTCTGAAATTGAAGAGTGAGGAAAGGAAGCAGCAGATACACCTAAGCTGTCTCTGTGTGCTTCTTTAAATGTATATGTTATGTTCTTATTAAAAGATCCTTATTCTCCTATTGCTAAATCTTCTGGTTTCAGTTTTCAGCAAATACTGCTTGTGGTTGCACAGGGAATTAATTTCAAAGTCCTTGACTGCAAAAAAAGAGAATTGGCCAGACCTCTGCTTACATATGGTGAGAGAAGAAGACATCATCTGAAGGATGAGTTGTCTGTCCTTCAGCTGTTGGGAAAAAATGTGACTTTAAGACTCTGGTTTCACGTAAACCCTACCAAGAAAGGAGAGCACTTGACTTCTTGTGGGTGTGAGATAGGGCTGATTGCATTCACCAGTCAGGTGCTAAGGCATCAATGGAAAAATCGACTGTGGGAATATACGATTTCATCAGATGTAAATGATGAATTGGCTTCTGGATCTTTTTCTTCAGAAAGATGAAGTAGTCTCACTTCTTACCTATTGTACCATCAGTGGGAATGACATGAGTTAAATATCCTGGTCCAGAACTGGCTGACAGCAGGAGCTGCAGCTGCACAACGTTTCTGGTTAACTGCTTTGTGCATCTCTTCAGCATGCTGCTTTTTGAGCTGTTCTCCCACTTCTGTGCCAGGCCAAAAGGGCTGTGTGGCCAAACCATTTCCATTTGTTTGTTCCAGTGATTTCCCACTGGTAGGGAGATGAGAAAGGGCAGCAGTGGGGACCCGGTGACTTCTCTCAACCCAGATCATCCAAACCACCAAGGAGTGAAGTGCACTTTTTTACAAATCAGCCTTTCTCACTGGAGAAAGAGAGGCCTTATGTGTTGAAGGAGGCCACCAGCAGGTGCGTTCTCTCCTGAAATCTTCCATCTGGTTGCAGCCATTGAGAGACCCTGCTGCTGCCCATCCGTCTTGAGGTGACGTCAGGAGGAACGGATGGGAACATGCTTTCACCAGTTGCAGCAGGAACTCTTCTGTGTAGAATCAAAAGGAAATATTTTCTTCCTCAGCCAGGTTTAGAATTACTTTTGAACACTTTTTTCTTTTCTTTTCTTTTCTTTTTTTTTTTTAAAGCCAAATTCTTTAATCGCAGGTGAGGACATAATTTTGACCAGATGCCAGTTCTTCATAACTAACGCTACAAGTTCTTTAGGAATGTTGTCCCATACCTTCTTCAAACTCATTAATCTTCACTGAATTTTTTCCAAAGCTTGCCCTCTGCCTGCTCACACAGCTAAGAGATAGACAGCTTATTGGCCAAGTAAATGACACTCTCAATGCTTCAGAACTTGTGCCCTTTTTTTACTTAGGTTTTGGCTTTTCAGTGATTTTTTGCAAGCTTTAGACACATTTTTGAAGCAGGCTCATTAACAAGAAGGACTGGAAAAGGAATTTGGAGGCTTGGAACTCAGTGCGATGGGATTTTTTTTCCTGTACAGTGAAAGATTTCAGTGCTTGTACAAAGCAGAACTCCACTTTTTTGGAGAAGTTAGCAGTCCAAAGCCTCACAGTTTCCAGAGGGACTTGTGCTCCCAAGGCACTCCGTTATTTTCTAAAATCCTATGCAATTGCACTTGTAGAGAGAGAAGCTTGGGAAAGTGTGAGTAGCAGGATGCATCTGAATGCTGAAAGAAAGAATAAAACCAATGGGGAGACAAGCAAAAAAAAACAACAAAACAACAAAACAACAGCCCTCCAATAGAAGTCACTTGTAAGTGGAGATGATTTCACAGAGACTCTTGTGCTCCTTGACAGGGGGGAGCAGGAGGGAAGGCAGCTGGTTTGCAGCGGATACCTCCTTCCTGTGCATGAAAGGAAGCATTCAATTGCCTTGTGGTGAAATGCTTTTGGCTCTAGACTGGGGTGGAGCAGGCTGTGGAGACACCCACACCCAGGTGCCTGGGGCTTGCTGTGCACAAGTGCAAAATGATAAGGCACCTCCTGAATATTGAAGTCTGGACACTGCCAGGACCACTTGTGAACTTCCAGATCTTTCTGTTTGGCATCACTCTCTGTCTCGTAAGGTGTAAGGCAGGGGGGTGCTTTGTGCTCAGAAGATATCCAAATAGAGTGAGGACTGAACACAGCCAGGACTGATAGCTCTTGCTGATATCCAAGTGTTATAGAATATTGAACCTTTCCTGAACATTTGGGGGCTAGGAGGTGTGATGCTCCCAGGCCCAAACTTGGAGACACAGTGGAGAAAGAGTAGCTTCTCCCCACATAACTGACAGCATCTGTGTTGGGTTATTGCTCTGATTCATTTCTGGAGGAGTCTCTCTCATGCTCAAAAGACTTCCCCATAGATGGGTGCCAAATGCCTGCTGCCCCATGGTATCATTTGGGAATATTTGCAGGCTGCAGTGCTATTTCCTAATCAAGCTGTTATGTATCCACCCAGTATACACTGCCTCTTGTGAGATTGTTGTGGGATGGGAGGCAGGCACTGGCTGGTGCAGAGGAGTTTGGAACAGACTGGTTGGATGACAAGGGCTGTTGTTTTTCTCCTCAGAATACTCTCTTACAACAACCTCACCAGGCTGGATGAGGGAAGCTTGGCAGACCTCGGAGGGCTGCATGTACTACGGCTGAGCCACAATTCCATCAATCATATTGCAGAAGGTGCCTTCAAGGGACTCAAAAACTTGCGTGTTCTGTAAGTTGCTCCTAGCTTGTCAGATAACACAGCACCTACCCTTCCCTCCTCAGGTTGTGTTCTAACAAACAGTTCTCCTTTGCAGTTTCTCTGGACTTCTGTATCCTCAGCTGCAAACTCCCCTGCGTTCTGCACTCTTGTGTTTACCCCATTAGTCAAGTTCAGTGAACTCACAGTTTTTAGTGTAGTTAGGAGAATTGCAACTGGATTGCTCAGAGTACTTTCAGAGTAGAGGGCCCCAAAATAAAGTTAAAGGAACATGGGACAGGATCCTGAATGCAGCTCAGCTAAGCAAAAATTGCTAAGGTTCAGCTAACAGCAGAATTCTCTTGCTATCCTACTGACTTTAATTGAAGTTCTTAGAAAAGGACTGTTTCTGTTGGCTCACTCTACGCTCAGAATCTGTGAAGAATAATTCCTTCCAGTGACGATGTTGAAAATTTGAATATTGCATGTAAGCGTGCTGTTAAGTGTTTTTGCTGCTACATCTTCTTGGTAAAGATGGCGTTGAGAAGGAAAAAGCAGTGGCAAAACAAATCCAGAGGTTGGGATCTGCTTATACTTTTGGATACCAGGAGTTTAATACCCAGGAGTGTAGGGGTTCAACCATGGTAGCAGGGTAGTCATGTACCCTGCTGAGGGTAGGCACACAGAGCTGAGCCTCCAGGCCACTTGTGTTCAGCAAGCTGACTTCATTCTTTGATACTTCATCCCTCCAGCAATCCATTCTGGTTTGAGTAATTAAAAGGAAATGGGAACAGAGATCTCTTCCCCCTTTACAGTATTTTCTGCATCTCTCTTCTTTATTGAAATTCACAGTGGAGGAAGTGACAGGAAAGTGAGTTTGGGTTTTGTTTGATTTTTGTCTTTTTTTTAGTTTTTTTTTTTTTTAAAACTTAAACGAAAGCCTTTCAGCCACTGGGCATTCAGAAACGGCCTTCTTTGAGGCAGCTGTCAGGACCGGAACTAAAGGTTTCCAAAGAGAAATGGAGGGAAGGGGAGCTGGCCTTCTCTTTGCTCTGCAGTGAATGAGGAGCCTCTTTTATGTTTAGGACCGAGGGGGGAGGAGGAGAGGGAGTGTGTGAGTGAGCTCTAATTTAATAAAGAGAAAGGCCTATTGGGTCCTGCACCTGGTGAAAAAGACCCGAGCATGCTTTAATTATGGCCCATTGTTGGGGAGCCTTTGGTGGGTGTGAAACTGCTGAAATGTGGAGCTATTCAAATAGAGGTCAGGCCCAGAGACCTTGCAGCACAATGATTAACAAGGCTGCTAGCATTCAAGCTCAGCCAGCCAGAAAGAATAGGAAATTGGCAACAGGGGCTGGGAGAGGAGTTGGAATACAAAGAGAGCAGGGCCAAAGTACCCCACTCTTTCTTCTTTTTTTTTCTTTATTTTCACCCATTTGTTGAGAAGGGTTTTTTCCTCCTTTCTAACACTAAACCTTTGAGTTGTCTCTGGATGAACAAGCAATACCGTTTTCTTTTTCCTTTTTCAAGGAAACACAATGCGTGGCAGTCAATTAATAAAAGTGCATGTCAGAGGGTTCCTGTGGGCCGTTCCCACCGGGCTGTCTTTGCCATGGGAAAAGGTTTGCTGATCCAAAGACCAGAAGCCAGTGGTGGATCTGAACACGAGAAGGGATTTGCCTTTAAAAATCAGACAAACAGAACAGCTGGCATTGGCTTGGCAAGCAGAGGGAAATTGTAGAAACTATAGTTCCAGGAGGAGCTATTTGCCTCGTCCCACTTAGATAGCATGGAAACTGTCAGCACATCAAAGCATCTCTCCTGCAACTGTCCGTACCCCACTGAGGTGTTGGGTTTTTATCCATCCCTTTGGCACTGGTGTATCCACAGATCACTCTGACATCTGCAGTAGTGCTGGCGGAGGGTGGCATTCCCCAGGGATGGGGTTCAGCTCTCACGCTGAAAGCAACTGAGAAAGAGGAACTGTGGCTTTGGGCCATCTCCTTCCACGTTGTTAATTCACACACCAAAGCCAGGAAGGACTGCAGCCAGCTTAGGTACTGCACACAGCAATCTCAGCTCCATCCCGTGTGAATGTTCAAACTCTGGAATTATTATTATTGTTCCCTTGTACGTTATTGTGTGCCTGTGCCTTGCAGCCCAAGAGTTAGGCTGTGATGCCTGTGCCTGGCATTTGAAAGTATGCAGAGGGCTTTGTTGCAGAAACGTTTTTCTTTCTTGGTTTTGATATATTTAAACAGATTGATCTGATAATAGTCTTCAAAAGGTGTGAAAAGAGTACCTGAGAGTTCAGGGGGTTATCTGGATGATTTAGTTGGCTTTGTTGTTGGTTTTTGCTAGGTTTTAAATCAGAGTGATGTAACAAAACCAACAGAGCCTATTTATTTTTTCTTTCTTTTTACTTAACATTAGAAATGATAAATTTCTGTCTGTGTTGCTCGGTATTCAGTGCTAGCTGGAATTAAAGCACAGGAGGGAAGGATTTTTAAACAGACTGTTTGAACAGCTTTTGTGGATCTTTCTGTTTGTTCTGTCTGCTTGTTTTTCTTCAGACCCTTTTGACTCTCATAATTGATGGCGAATTTGAAAGCCAAAAGAAGCTAACTCTGGAAAAGGAATTCTAACTTTTCTTTTTTAATGGTTATAAAGAGTTTGGCTTGCGCAATGATGATAGTGCTTTCCTTTGTTGAACTTTCAAGTTCATTGCCAGAAAAAAATGCAGCTTTGTAGAAAATACACCATCGTCTTCCTAAGATAAAGCTGTAGGCAAACTCATGTAGACACAGAAACAGCCAAAGTTATCTGAAGTCATGATAGCAGCATTTAAGGACAGCTATTAAACCCTGCTTGTTCAGATTTAATACATTCTCTGTCCTGGTGGAATTTAAATTGAGAGAGAAAGTGGAGCAGTACTTTCCTTTGCCTTCAGTGGGCACCATCCAAATGCAGTGAAATTTCACCATCAGAGACATAGGAGGGGACTCCCTGCCTCATCTTATCTACCGGTTCCCTTTGGTTCTCTCAGTTTACTTTTGGGACTATATGTTTTTGGTTTTTTTTTGTGGTTTTTTTTTTTTTGGATAAACGAAATTAGAACAGAACGACACCCTACGTGTTTAAAAAGTAGCTACTGGCTCAGTACTGGGGGGTTCAGCCAGGAAAAAACACTTCAGTGTTAAAAAGTGATTAGTGTGGCTTTGCTGCAGGATTTAACCAGTTTTGATAACTGCTAAGACAAAGTGGGAAGCTCTTTGTTTGCCATTCTCAGACTTTCTTATGTTTGTTTTTAGTGATGACCCTAGGACTTAGACACCGATTATGAGCTTTCTCTTGTCCTCTCCCCAGGGAACTGGACCACAATGACATCTCAGGCACAATAGAGGACACCAGCGGAGCCTTTACAGGCCTAGAAAATCTGAGCAAGCTGTGAGTATCCCTGGTTTGAAGTTCTGCAAAACAGTTGTGCTGTGTGCCTCAGGGGGTGGATCTCTCCCCTCTCTGATCCTGTTTTCCTTCCCTCCGAACAAGATAGAAATCCACAGAACATCTGAGGCAAGGTAGTTCTGCAGATAGGAGGCAGTTCTGGGCTTTTGAAAACACACATCGTTGCTTACTGTGTGTCCTATACCATAGTTCAGAAACTGGAGAGAGCAACTTAGATTGTTTTCAGCTCTAAGATTTAGCACAACTGTTCTTTGCTTCTAAAATCAAACAGCAACCAAAGCCCCCTTGCAATCTTCAGCAAACCACCGATTGATGGAGTGAATAACAATAAACAGAGAAAAATCGTACCGTTTCCTGTTACAGCAGAGGATTGAGGCAGGATTCATTTCTGTGGGATGCTCTGTCTGAGAGTGATCTTTTGGGCTTGCTTCCATGTGCAGTGACAATAAAAGGCACCATGGGGCATAGGCTCTTAAAGAGATAAAAAGAAACCTAAGGCAAGCATGCGCCTTGCAAATGTTTATTGCTTGCTTGGCCTTCACAAGTATTTTCACATTGCTCTGTCTGTGCTTGTTCGTATTCCATTTGAAATCAGTTATATAAATCAGCCCTGTCAGGGAAGTCTCTGATGGCTTGTGACAAACCAAGAGTCTTTCTAATCATTACCTCTTGCTTTTGTTTAAGTTCTCAGCACCCTCCCATCACGCTGTCTCTGATGCTGGGATGGCACAGCTAGAGGTGCAGTAAAAGTACCTCGATGGATAGCAGATGGCCAGAATGAACCCTGGCAGGCGGTATATTGTCGTGTTCTCATTAGAGGCTCCTGGGGGAGTGGGAAGAGCCGTGCAGGACTGGTGGGGCCGTAATGCTTAGAGGAGAAAAAAATGCAAGTCACAGGCATAGATGGCAATGGATCGTTGTTGAGGGGAGACGCTGGGTCGGAGGAGAGGGGAAACAAGTTGCAGCTACAAGTAAAGTGAGGCAGAAGGCAGAGAATGGATTTGAGGACAGGCAGGGGAGCAGAATATATGTGGGATGGAGAGAAGCCAGTAGGAATTTGTGTGTGAGTTGGGAAATCTTCCCTCAAATTGCTTAAAAAAAAAAAGCAGAGGTGGCAGATGTGGTGGGTGGGAGAGTCCTTGGCTGATGTTATTGGAGTTCTCAGATTTATCTGACAAAACAGCACATGGGAGTGGTCAAAGGGGCAGTGGGAGCTGAGGCTTTGTCCAGAGGGACTTGCAGGCTGCAATGCTCTGAGTCTGAAGGCAGTGCTGCTCTGACAGGAGAGAGGAGAGGTCGCTGTCCTGCTGGGATGTCACCACAGGGCATCGCTCCCATGTGGCCACTGTCATGGGAATACGAGTAGTGCTCCTGCATACCTGAGTGTGTCAGAAGTGTTGGGTGCAAACTGCAGAAGAAAAGTGAAACAGCCAGAGGGGAGAGCACCGAGGGAAAGAGTTCAGAAGGATTGACTCAGTGACCAGGAGGAATGAGCACTGGTGAGCTGTGGGGGTCAGGCAGAGGCCAGGAGGAGCAGGATGGAGCAAAGAGCCTGCAGGGCTTTGCGGGCTGTGTGCTTGGAGCTCTGTGCAGAGTCCTGTTGCTGCTGGTGGAGCATTCCAGCCTGTTCATAGTAAAGTTCTTTACAATGAGAGTGGTGAGGTGCTGGAACAGCTGCCCAGAGAGGTTGTGGATGCCCCATCCCTAGAGGTGTTCAAGACCAGGTTGGATGGGGCCCTGGGCAGCCTGGTCTAGTATTAAATAGGGAGGTTGGTGGCCCTGCCTGTGCCAGGGGGGTTGGAGATTCATGATCCTTGAGGTCCCTTCCAACCCTGGCCATTCTATGATTCTGTGGCCTGATGTTGGTCATTGGGCACAGACAGCAGCTCCAAAAGGTGGCTGGTTTTGTCTGCTATTTTGTATGTGGCAGGAGCTTGTGCAAGTGTAAAGTAGGCTGAGTTTGCAGTGAACTCCATAGCCTGGCACAGCACACAGCCCAGGTTGGTCTCTGGCAGACAGGAGAGGTTTGGTTACACAATAGCAAACCTGCCACAGGGCAGCTGGTTGTACCTTTGCTGGGATCGTTTCTTGTCAGTCAGACTTGTAAGACCAGAAAAAACCCTCTGAGTATGAGATTATTTCATTGTAGAGCATTCTGGGCACACTAGGGAGCGTGCACTTCTAAAGCAGTGTGCTCAGGTCTCCACTTCAGCTCATCAGCACTTAAATCCCAAACTTGTAATTTCATCTAAGGCTGAAGTGAGTGTTATTCTTGCTGGCAGGGTTTTTTTTCTTAAATAAAGTAAAACAGCAGCCTCTACAGAGAACATCTCACTGCCTGATTTAAGGCCTGTATTTAAACCGTCAATAGGCTTTAAATGCATTAGCATACAAAAAATAAATGGGCACTTCAGAGGAGACCTTCCAATGAATTAATAATCACCTCGGCTCTGTGGAGATTGCCTTAAAAGCTGCTCCCCTTTGATCTGGCACAGATTAGTCTCTGAAAGGATTTAACGGGGAGAGGGTTGTTCGCTGAAATGAAGGTGTTAAACTGAGAGGTGGGAGGCCACTCACTTTAGCCTTCCCTGAATTATATATGAAGCTGTCCAGGATGGAGAGCACAGGCCTAAATTAAAATGTTTCTTCAAGAAAGGGAGTCGAGAAGCACCGAAGCATGAAAAGCATCAGTGGAATCGCTGGGGAGCAACCGGTTCTCCTAATTATTCAAGCTGCTCAATGTAACCGGTTTTTTTGATGGCTCACTCAGTGACTGAGATCTTCCTGCAGGTGCAAAACTGGCTGGAGGAGAAAATGCTGCTTTCTAATGAATTGCGTGCCTGGCTTCTAATTACACTTATGCAATCACTGGGAGAGCGTGGTCGCACCCAGCTCTGCTCACAGCAGCACGGCTGGGGACTGCAGCAGGCAGACAAGCAGCAGGGCTGCATGCCATGGCCCTTGGAAAGGGGCTGCTGGGTTGCAGAAGTGGCTGTTTGATGTCTGAAAGGCAGAAATGAGTTTTCTGGGGCATGGTGTTATTGCCATTAATGGTATAGATTTCTTGCAAACATAACCATAAAGTTGTTTGCATAAACGTGGCTATTCAGAACGCCAGGCTTCCTGCTTACCTCTGCACAGATAGAGATGTGTTGAGAGAATCATCATCTTCAGTTTTCAAAGCTGGAGCCCTGGGCAGCCTGGTCTAGTACCAGATCTGGAGGTTGGCGGCCCTGCCTGTGGCTGGCGATTGGAACTTGGTGATCCTTGGGGTCCCTTCCAACCCAAGCCATTCTGTGATTCTGTGATTCCAGATCTACTGGAAGCAGTAAACACAAATCTCCAGTTATCAAATCCAAGCTCAGCATAGCACTCATTTAAGATTATGACTCCAGAAATTACTGCATATGGATGTAGCCATATGGCCAAAGTTTGCATATAGTAAATTATTTACTGTATTAATCATTCTAATGGAGTTTCCAAAGCCTTCATTAATACAAGATACCTTTTACCAAATTATGGTCCCCATGATTGCACACATTTTTTCGTGCTTGGGGTATTTTAGCCAGAACATAGAGCAGTTCTATGCTCTAGGACTTCTGATGCGCTGATCTTGTATCTTGATTTGGTAGCAAGCAGTGCTGTGATCGTAGTGTTATTGCACCCTGTGTTTCAATGGAAAATCTTGAAGGAACAGTCAAAAGCAGCACGTGATGTGCTAGTCTGTGTACTGGATCTGTTAGTAATGACTTGCATTGTAAGCCACGTGAAGCAAGAGGTGATAAACAGATGCACCTGGCAGATAAACCTCACACAGAGAGCTTGGGGAAGGAAAGAATTTCCTAATTGATGACACTGGCTGATGTTTCTGTAAAACAGTCGAGGATATCATCCATTTTGTATGAACCCTGACCAGTCCTGGTCAATATTTATAGAAGATTCTGAACACCGGCTGGGCTGCAAGCACTCAGCTGGCTCTTGCCTACTGATGATCCCCCCCTTGCTAGTGGGCAGGAATGGTCTGTGGCCACAGATACAGGCAAGTGTGCTCCTTGTTTTGGTCTCTCTGCACATCACCTTTTCTCTCTTTCCGTATGGCCCCTGAAATTACTGCTCTGCTGTCAGTTACTGTATTATTCTGCTCTGCTGTTGTATTTACAAGAGGCCAAGGAGGGAGGTCAGCAATCTCTTTGGTTGGGTGCTGCATGCACACAGCCCAGAGATGGCCCCAGCCCTTGTGTTTGGATGACTAGGCATTCCAAGCAGCAGGGAGAGATTACCACTCTTTTACTTGCCACTCTTTTACTATGCAGGAAGAAGTCAGAAATGAAAAGTGTTTCAGGAAGAGACCAAAGTCTTGTTAAACTGTCGTTGCACTTAATCCTGACCAAAGCCAGCCTTCAAAGAATAGAGGGGACCTGTTACTCAGCAAGCTGGTTTCCAGGCACTGGAGCAAACCTGCCTCTTTACATGATATGGCACATTCCCTTTTGTGCTGTCATCACTATTAAATTCAAACACAGATAAAAGGATTTAATTTCAGGAGTGGGAAAGCGAATGTATTTCAGCCCTCTTAATCTCCATGCAGTTCAGATTTCCTGGGACTTGCACTGAGTGCGTATATCAGATAAAGCCACGCTAATTGTGTTCCTTCTTTTTCTGCCTCCCTCTCCCCATTTTCTTTCTGTTTATCTGGCACTGGATGTTTGGAAACTGCAGAACTCTGTTTGGAAACAAGATCAAGTCGGTGGCCAAGAAAGCGTTCTCAGGGTTGGAGGCCCTGGAGCACCTGTGAGTAACCCACCATGCCTCGCAGTTTGGGAAGGGGGGTCTGCCAAAAGTTGCTGCCTGAGAGATCTGCTAGCAATTTAATAGTGTCTTTGTAAACTGAGAAGCCAGTCCATTTGTGGGGGCCACCTGCTTCCTTCTCATTATAAGTCTGCCTCAACTTTGGCCTTTTTTTGTGCCAGAACAAAGTTATAGAACATATGGCAAATCTGCATGCTCTTAATTTTTTGGTTTGTTCTTGGATAAATACGCCTTGACTTGCATACTGCTATTTTGCAGGCTGTTGGCAATGAAAATGTGCTATTTCAGATGGAGTTCGCTCTCTTCCTCCCTTGCCCTGACTTCTTCCTAAATCTAGGCAGTGACACATGTTGCAGATGACTGCTCATGATACAGCATTGCACATACCCATTCAGCACAACTGCCTTTGAGCGATTTGCAAGCAGCAGATTTTGGCTGCCACTATGTAATTTTTTTTCTGTGATCCAAAGCTGATGACTCCAGCAGTGACTCATGAATAGCTTCCTTTCTGAATTAACACACGTTAAAGTATCTGTGACTTTGCTGTCGGTGTTTCATTGACTGTTGATTGTTAAGAAGTGTTGTGAGCACTGAGATTGTAGTGACTGCCTGACTCGGGGGGGTACCTTCCCTGCTAAAGGGTCCCTTATCTGGGATGCACGGAGAGTTCCTTTGCAAGCAGAGCTGGCATTGGTCTGTCTTGCACTTGACTTATTAAATGCAAGCCTGAAATCTGACACTGTCCTTTTCAGAAGACAGCTGAATTTTTTTAGTTAGCAGTAGTTGAGAGGGAAGCTGTTAAGAACACATTCTTTTGGGAACTTTGCTGAGTATCCTCTCAAAGTGACTTTGCGAGATGCCGTTCGGTGCAAGTATTAGCTTTCTGCACATTTGTTGAAGGGCTGGCCTGGGAAATGACATTTCTGACTATCTTTGGTTTTTGAGAAAGCTGAGGAATTTCTGAGACTGAGAAAGTGTAGTGAGAAAGTGGGGTAGGGACCGACTTAGTCATTTATTCCTGAATGTTTTGTTAATTTACTATTGCTTGGCATTACCTGTTTGATAGGAATGTGTTTTGAAACCTATTTCCACGAGCTGCAAGTGTCTTCACCAGTCTTCACCAGGAGCTAAAATCTCACTTGCTTACTAGAGTCAGCGCTTGGGTATGGGAGAGATTTTGTCACAGCCATAATATGCTGTTGTTCACATTGCCTTTGGTTGTGTTCTGCAGGAACCTTGGAGATAATGCCATCCGCTCAATCCAAGCAGATGCTTTTGCTAAGATGAAGAGCCTGCGGCAGCTGTAAGTAACTGGGCTGTACACACCATGAAGGAGCACGGATCTTTCTTGCCCTGGACGTGAGAAGTAGCACGTTGTTTCCAATGGGGTGTTATTCACATTACTGTTCATTTATTTCCTCCTCCCTGCTGTCCTCCTCTGCAGGGTATTTTTACACACGAGTAGCTGTCACAGGAACATCTTGAATTTAATAGTGAGTGAAATTAGATCATCAGAACAGGTTATTCCAGCAGGTTCGCATCTGTGTAATGATTCATCTCCACTCAGGAAGTCCAGCCCAAGTCCTGTTAGCCGTTTCTCCTTCTCACACTGTCACAGATTTAATTCCCAGTTGCCCATCTGCTCCTCTGCAGTACCTATGTTTAGGGTTCACATACTGTACTGACATTTCAGTGATAGCACCATTTGAACTGAATCCACTTGTCATCCAGCCTTCTGGTGTAAAAATACAGATGTGTTATCGGAGCTGCTGCTTGTGCTCCAGGCCGGGGCTGTGCCCTGTTACCAGACACTGTTTCCAGTCTTGCCTGGTTTCCTTTCTCCTCCATAAATATTTAATCCACTCTCACCACTCTTTGTGGAAGAAGAAATCACTTAGTTGGTACTCAGGCAAGTTCAGGGTCTTCTTCCTGACTTTGAAAATGGGAATCAGACAAGTGATGCTAGCAGTGACATGAGTACAGTGACTGTGGGGTCAGTAAGATCAGGTTGCATGCCCACTGTCTCTTTAACCACTTTATCTATCTGCAACACTGGCTCTTGAAACAAAATAGAGGAGAAAAACTGATCTGATCTTATTAAAAAAAAAATAAAATCCTGAGTCTCCACTTCTATTTGCACCCGTAGCTCTTTCCTTAACAGCTGAGTTACTGTTAGGATGCTAATAAATGCTGCTGGGGACCACTCTGAAAACTGAATAATAAGGCACCAGGGAGTGTCACTGGAATACAGGAGGGGATTGTTTTGTGTGGAGATGAAATGCCACTTAAATGTGTGACATAGGTAGCTTCATTAGTGCTTTGAGGACAACCCTGCAGTCCTTTTCTTCCTTCCACTCCTACTGAAGGAAAGGGAGGAATGTGACTAACATGAAAGGGCTGTGAGCTTTGCAGCCCTCTCTCCATGCAGAACTCACAGCAGGCTGTGTTGGTTTTGTTTCCCTGCAGCCACATCAACAGCGACAGCTTCCTCTGTGACTGCCAGCTGAAATGGTTGCCCCCCTGGTTAGTGGAGAAAGAGCTGCAGTCCTTCGTGGTGGCCACCTGCGCCCATCCTGAGTCGCTAAAGAGCAAAAGCATTTTTGCTGTTCTGCCAGAAAGTTTTGTGTGTGGTAAGTCTTGCTTGTGTATTTTGAGGTTGTATGAAGGGCAGAACTCACTTGGGAAACATTTTCTTTGACTACTAGCATGTTATTATGAGAGGATTTCTGTTTTGTTTTGTTATTCAATGGGATCAAAGGAAGCCCAAGCCTGCATTTGGAAAATTTGTCATTGGCTACAATTTATTTCCCACCACAACCGCACAGCGCATTGCCTGCATCGCGTGAATCCTGCACAGGGCTCCATGGGTATTAAATCAAAAGGACTGATGCTCATTCCAGCTCCAAATGGGACTGCACAGCTGCACAGTTCCCTTGGTTTGATATTAGCAAGACTGCAGTTATAAAGTTTTTCATCTTGCTCACTGTGTGGCTTTGTGTTCTTTGCTTATCTTTTCTCCTTCTTGCAAACAAGAACAAGGAGTTAAAAAAAAAAAAAAAAAAAAGAGAGCCTCCCCATCACAGCTCCTTTTATCGGACCACTTAGGCATTATAGAGGAACAAACTGGCTAACACCTGAATTATTACCATTTTTCATCTAAGTGGCACCTACTGGTGTTCTCCCACTTGCTCTCTGCAGTTGACTCTGCACCTGAGCTTTAATTGCAAAGAATCGTTAGTAAACACTTGGCATGCACAAATGTCTGCAGCTTCCCTAGTAAAGAAATATAAATGATCAAAGGAGACTGAAGTGATGCTCACGCATCCAGATTTTGGGCAACACCACCACCTAGGACCTTCCACTGCTAATGCAGCCTTGGAATTTAAGTCATAAATTCAGCATTGTTTTCTTTGTGCATGGGCTGTGCAGGGAAGGATAGTATCTTTCTGAGGTTCTGAGCTACATGTGGAAAGAACTGGGCATCCTCTGGTTTCACATCTCTAAGTCACTATCTCATTCATATTAACAAAAGGAACCCGAGAAACAAGAGCCCTAGCTTAGACTGGTCACTCAGTGGAGGAGTGTGGCGTGTGTGCATTATCCCAAAGGTGGGCACTTAGCAAGAGCAAGCTGCTTTTCTGGTGTAGACAGCAGAGGATGTAAAGACAGAAGTGTAATAATGTCTTTCACTAACATGCTGCTCATTTCTAGTTCACCTCTCTGCTTGTTCCAGTCTGCCCTTATAGTCCAGAACTAACAGGGGTTTCTATTTCCTCTTAGATGATTTTCCCAAGCCTCAGATCATCATCCAGCCAGAGACCACAGTGGCCGTCCTTGGGAAGGACATCCGTTTCACATGCTCAGCTGCCAGCAGCAGCAGCTCCCCCATGATGTTTGCGTGGAAGAAAGACAACGAAGTGCTGCATAATGCTGAGATTGAGAACTTTGCCCACGTGCGGGCGAAGGATGGTGAGGTGATGGAGTACACCACCATTCTGCACCTCCGCCACGTCACCTTCGCCCACGAGGGCCGATACCAGTGTATCATCACCAACCACTTTGGCTCTACCTACTCCAACAAGGCTCGACTCACTGTTAATGGTGAGTAGAAAGCTGAGTTCTCCTTTCTTCCCTCAGCAATTCTCTGGGGCCTGTTGTGGCCAGCTGTAAACCTGAAGTACTCCTGAGGGTTTTACAGGAGAAGTTCATAACCTCTTCACACCAGCTGCTTGCCTCTCAGAGGATGCTGAGAAATGCCATGTGAGGAGCACATGCCACGCCTGTGATGGCTGCCATCCAGCCAGGCACGGTTTTAATGGCTTTAATCACTTGTCTTTGTCTGTTCCAGTGGAGTCTTTGCCCATAGGAGTAAAAAAGTATTGAAAGAAAAGAGACTGTAGTGATTGAAAGTAGGAGGGATAATGAGTTTTGTTTCCAGCTTAATCACAGAAGAAAATTAGCTTTGATCCCAGCTCTGATGATCCTGAGCAGGGTGTCCTGGACAGGTATGTGCTGTGAAGAAAACAAATACATAAAAGAAAGATAAAAAAGCATCTTGTCATCTGTTGCCTATAGATAATTATCATGCCCGTGTCCTGCCTAGGAAGGAAAGTAGTTAGAACTGCATGGAAAATTGTGTTTTCTCCATGGAATTGCTCATTGTTTTTTCTGTTTTTTCTTTATCAGTGTTGCCCTCATTTATCAAAACTCCACACGACATCACCAGCCGGACAGGGACAACAGCACGGCTGGAGTGTGCAGCTGAAGGACACCCCACCCCACAAATTGCCTGGCAGAAAGATGGGGGCACGGACTTCCCTGCAGCTCGGGAACGCCGCATGCACGTCATGCCTGATGACGATGTCTTCTTCATTACGGATGTGAAGATAGAAGATATGGGTGTCTACAGCTGCACAGCACAGAACTCTGCAGGGTCTGTGCTTGCAAATGCCACCCTGACTGTACTGGGTAAGATGCCTGAGCGTTCCTCAAAGACTAACTGGTCTAGAAGCAGGAACTGGAAGGAATTGTTCTTTAGCAGTTGCAGAAATGGGACAAAGAGGCCATGCTCTGCGTTCTTCTTGTTCATTCTTCTACACTGTAGTTAACTAGGGAAAAAAAGTCTGCTAATTAAAAAAAAAAAGGAGCTTTGAGTCGCATTTCCTCTGTTCTGGGAAGCCCCTGTAGCCATGCTATTTCCTACCTATGAAATTGACTTCAAAAGGAAATTGTGCTCTCTTTCTCTGGCCTTGCCAGATTATTCACGTATGTCAGCCACTACCCCCATAGCCTAGGCTTTTTCTTTGTTGGGAACACTACCACCAAGTTAAGAGACTGTTTTGGTCATGATTTTTAGATCTGTTTGGTGCACAGCTGCCGTACTCCTAGGCACATGGCCACATACTGCTCTGCCAAGTATTTGTCTGCAGAAACATGAGTTATGTTCAATATTATTAAAAGAAAAATGTTGTCGTGGTATCCCCACAAATTAATTTCTGCTTTATTCCCCTGCAGAGACACCATCTTTGATTCACCCACTGGAAGACCACGTAGTGTCTGTAGGTGAGACTGTGGCTCTTCAGTGCAAAGCCACGGGGAGCCCACCTCCCCGCATTACCTGGCTGAAAGGAGACCAGCCCCTGATTGTGACAGAAAGGCATCACTTCACCTCTGGCAACCAGCTCCTCATCGTTAGGAATGTTGTCTTGGAAGATGCTGGGAAGTACACTTGTGAAATGTCCAACACCCTGGGGACAGAGCGTGCGCACAGCCACGTGAGCATCTTACAGTCTCTTGGCTGTAGAAAGGACCGTACCACTGTGGGGATCATCACCATTGCTGTGGTGTGTAGCATCGTGCTGACTTCACTGGTCTGGGTCTGCATCATCTACCAAACCAGAAAGAAGAGTGAGGAATACAGTGTCACCAACACAGGTACCTCTAGTATTCCGCTGAGGCTTTCCCTAACCTGTTGTGTTGTCAGACTTCCCCCTGGGGCCAGATCAGCATGTCAGGTAGCCACAATCTTACTGGAAAAGCAGTTGGCTTTTCTCAGTGGTTCTCTTGGCTGCAGGAGCTGGAACCACCCTTTGCCTGCATGTTTACAGCTGCATTTCTGTCCTTGGCTGGCTCTTCAGAAAGGTCTTTTCCAAGTGGAAGTAGTTTCAACTGTTGTTTTGCAACTTTAATTTTCCATGACCGTAAATGATAACTAACTCTCAAGACAGTCAGCATGATGCCCATGATGCTTAGATCCTGCCTTAACTTCTTGAGAATCTGTATTTTCAAAGACTGTGTGTTCTGAACATAGAAAAATGAGCCTCTGAAGCTGGAAGCACTTTTTCCGTATTGCCTGTAAGAGCTGTTGTAATCATACTGATGAGGGGCATCCCTCTCTTCCTGGGGGAAGGAGTGCTTATTGCTTTTTGCTGGTCTTCAGAGGGGATAATTAGGTGCTGAAACAAACGTTGGAGGGATAAAAACTCTCCTGCCATCAGCTTTAAACAGTCTCTGTACAGAAGTAAGGCAAAACCACTTTAAGGCTTCCCTGTTCTCAGATTCGTGGTCTTCCTGTATTACTATTAGACTTAGATACAGCATGAGGTGGACTTAAGTAGGAAATGCTGGATACATATCACCAGAGCCATGTCTAAGTGGGATTTTTATCTCCCTTTTATTCAGTCCTGGTGTACTTGAGTTTCACTTGGTATTTATATGGCAGGGGAAAGTAAAACTGTCTGATATGAGATGGAGAAAGCCAAGGGTAGCTAAGTGACTTAGACTTTGCCTGCTGAAGTGAATCAGAATCCCTGCTCTCCAGAAGTGTTCTTCATGGCTCTGGGAGACAGAGGACATGAATCAAATGAGGTGTGCTGTATTTCAGGTGATAGGCTTTTATGTGCTCTGAAGAGACAGTTGCACTTTGTCCTGGCAATGCCAATCATCCAGAGTGGTTTATCAGCATTACATCTCACAGCTTTAGGCTTTGAAAAAATCAGAAGAGGGGCTTCTGAGGGGCATTAGGATATTCTAGGCAATTGAATTCTAATTCACTGCTCTTACAGAAAATACCGTGTATATATAGATCTGGTCCTCAGTCCCTCTTGAAAATGTGATTTGAGATGCAGTGCAAACAGAAGAAGCCTTTATGTTTTCCTAGAAATTCATATTTCCTTTCTCCCATTGCTTTAGATGAGACTATTGTGCCTCCAGACGTGCCGAGCTACTTGTCCTCACAAGGGACTCTTTCTGACCGGCAGGAAGCGGTTGTCAGAGGAGACAACCAACAGCCTAATGGACACATAGACAGCAATGGTGAGAACCAAGTCATTTCTTCTGTAATACTGCATCTAAACGTGATGCAAGGATGGAAAAAATATAAAGTATTTCTGTGCTTGTTATGAGTTATCTGATAGATCTTTGTAGTGTAATTCTCCAGTCTCTGCATTTATGCAGAACGAGGACCCTCTCTCACTTCACAAAGGTACCCTCTCCCCGTTATAATATGAGTTTAATTAAGCAGACAGCTTCAAAACTGCTCAGTCAGGCCATAATGAGTATTCCTTTTTTTCTAATTATGGATTAGTTCTTTGGCACTGGAGTTACCATAGTTAAGCTTTACTAGAAAGCACATTAGCATTGCCTGTCCCTGCCTTCAGGCTTGGAAATTAAATGCTGGGGTTTTACAGTATTTAAACACAGCACATTAGGAAAGAAAAGGTAAGTGTTCTGAACTAAGATTCTCCTAAGATTACACATCACTTATAATTTGAAGCTAATGTTTAACAGAATCTATTATCTTCATTGCTGTTTTTCCCTTTAGCAGCTTCTATGGGTAGAAATGTGACTAACAAGTCATTCAGCTGAGGGCAGATGGTTGTAATCTGTAGCCAGATGGTTCGTTTGTTACAGGTATGTGTCAGACTGATGCTGGAAGGTGTCCAGATGTTGAAGCTCCCACTGTAGGTTGCAGACAGCCAAAGCTGTGTATTGGCTATAATAAAGACACTTGGAAAACTGAAGACACGGCTGACGGAATGCTCGTTCCAGATAAGACAGGTACAAAACTCATTAATCTAGAAAGGTATTTCATGTTTGTACAGATCAGAAAGCCCTCCGAGTCAGACAGCAATGAGACGAGAAATTGTTACCTTCAGAAAAAGAGGCCAGAATGTTTCTCAGGTGTGAGCACAATAAATCTACTTTCTCCTGCTTGCTTTGATCCTCTCTCAAAGTTGGATAGTTTGAATTCAAGGGCCCATCAGAAGAAGGCGGACTGAAACTTGTGCTGGCCATCGCTCACAGCTGGCTGAGGGGTGTTTTGATTTGAGCTGTTCCTAAAATGAAGAGAGCCCTTCCAAACTGAAGGTGTTAAAATTTTTTTCATGGTCTTTAAAGGCGCTGTCATCTTCAAAGCTCAGCTTTTCTTTTCTTTTTTAATTTGAATTTTCAGAATTTTACTGTTGTTTTGGGCACTGCACCTGCTGCTTCTCTTTGCCAATTTCTTGGGTGTTACACTTTCCTATTTTTAGGATAAATTCTCTCTCCAGGAGAAACAGTAAAGTAGAATAATGAAAAGCTGTCAAGTGCACTCAGGAAACTAACTTTCAAAACTCAGAACCTCCTTTCATCTTGCTGCTTTGAATTCTGCTCAGCTGCTGTTCCCACTAACAGCAATAAAGTATCCTGAGATAACAATACGATTTGACAGTGATCCCTATAAAGCAGCAGCACAAAAATAAGAAAGGCAAATTGGTATTTTAAAGCGGTTATAGGAAAGTTCCAGTTTCTATTTCTGCCCTGACTAGAAAGTCTGGAAAAGGAAATAAATGTACAGTTGATTTTTAAAAATGAAATCAAAACTCCTTTGGAGATAGAAAAAAAAAAAAACAAAAAAAAACAGCTATTTATTGGAATTGCCTTTAGTGACAGGACAGCTGCTGAGTTGTGACAAGCACAAGCTTTTGCTAGCCCTGAATATAAAACAAAAAATGTCCATATTATCTACCAAGCGAGGTTCCCACTCTGCTGCGTGTTTTCTGTGTCTCAGTGTTGACAAATTCCAGCTGGTCAATCTGCATTTGTTGCTGTTTTCTCTTCCTCCTGCAAAGGCTATGGCCTGCCCGTGGTGTGCACAGACTGCAGCGGCAGCACAGACAGCATGAACATCCACATCTATCCTGGTGAGTCGGAGTACTACGCTGAGGGCCTTCAGACTCTGGATGGTTCCTACCACAATGCACTGAGCAGCAAGGAACGGAGCAGGAAGAGGGGTGCAGGCACCACCAGCCTTCTTCATCCACAGCAGTGCAACGGGATTGCCAGCAGCAAGAGGATGGAAGCTGATGGGACCCTCTACCCCAGCAACCACGACAGAATAACGGCTGTGAGCACAACCAGCCCTCTGCTTGCAGACCAACATGGTATGCTGTTCCCCATTTGCTTTTTTAACTTGGCTCAAGGGCATGAATGACAGCAGCAGGGTTGGTTTTGTGCATACTGCTGGCAGGCTGAGCATCAGCTAACCACGCTGCTTTGCTTTTCTGCAGGCTCTTCGCAATCAGGAGCAAAGCCTTCAGAGCTTAACAACCTGAACTTGGTGAGAGCTTCACCGGCAGGAGGGTCACTAAAGCAACTGAACGTGCTTCCTGAAATTCCCCCAACACTACTGGATCTGCAGAGTGAAGCAGAAGCAAAACAGGCCCTCCTGGCCAATGGCTTCACACCCAAGTCGTGCGACTCCAGTCATGCGTTTAAGCCCTCGAGCAGATCAACAGACTGAGAGGACAGACTGCCATGTGCAAAGTAACAAACATGCTATTATTATTATTATTTTTTGCACAGAGTATATAGGCTACTTACTTCTACCTCAAATCTTGAACTGATGACCTGTCAAAGGCAAAACAGCTGAGGTATGAGAAACAAGCTTGTATGGGGAACAAACTCCTGTTCGAGCGTCATCTGTTTGTACATAGTTAAAAACTTCCCTGTGAAGTATGAAGCATTCAAAAGTTGACTTGCATATGAAGCACATAAATGCAAGAGTTATTGTGTAAAGAGAAAAGTATTTGATACAATTGTACATAAGAGTTTTCATATATAAATATATATATAAATATATATATATATATCTTTTACAGAGGCTATTTTAATCTTTAGTGCATGGAAAACTGAGTGAAATTTTACAATTTTGGCAATACTGTTTTCAGTATCAGGTTGCTGTTAAACTTTGTGAGAGAAATAATTCTGGTGCCTTAAATGCATAAACAGAAGTTTAAAAAGCCAGACTGTTCCAAAGGGATTGTCCTCTTTCCAGTGGAAGTCCCTTTAAATCAAGTATCAATTGGGTTACTCAGCACAAATTTTTTCCCCTCTGAAATTTATTGCACTTAACACATTTAAACAGAGAGCTGCAACTGTTTGAAATGAAGCTTAGAGGAATAAAGAAAACAAGCAGTGAGAAATTACATAGCAACCTGATTTTTTTTCCTGTTTGTGGAAGAACTTAAATTCCATTATTTTTCAAAACTGCGTAAGAATTTGTATTTTAGCCATGACACATTCGAGTGGACCACACAAGTGGTACTAAATAATTCAGCACCAGTGCAGAGCCCCAAAACAACCAGCCAAAATGGATATCGTGACTAGCGAGCAGTCATTCCCAAAATAAATAATTCATGCAGTAAACCGTGGGGTGGTCTCATGCATGGCACCACTCAAAAGCTTCACAGCAGAAGCCATTCTGTGCCCAAATATGCTGGTGTAGCACTCATCACTGACACAGCCAAACTGCAGACACTGCCCCCAGAATGGATAGGTGCATACAGTGCTGCAGCCTGTCCCTGTGCAGGAGGAGCAGCCACCTCTGCCACTTTAACACATTTGCTAACCAAGCAATACACATCTATCCTGGAGGGGGGTTCAAAACCATGGAGCTGTTGTGACAACAAAAATTAAGTCCTGCTCTGACAGCTGTACCCCCTAATTCATACTTTAACTTTCTTCCTGCAGTACAATATTCCACTTGCTTGTTCAACACCATCACCCTGATTTGCAGCCAGACTCTACATGAAAATATCCGCTTCCAATTAATTATGCTGCCTCGTGTAGCAATTCTGGGCTGTTCAGAAATATTCTCCTTTAGAAGAGAAACTGTGGTAGAAAGTAGACTTTAAAATGGAAATGTCCTGAATATTTTTATGTGGTCTTTTAAGTTCATCCATGAATGGGGGGAAAAAAATACCCATGTTAGTGAAACAAATCTTAGTCACTTCTAACTTCAGTACGAAGCTTTTTGTTCATGGAAAGGCTGCTTTCTCTTGGTGTTGGTACCTGTGGATGGAGGACTCCCTTCCACTTATTTATAATTTGAGTTCTGCTAATATAAGGTTGCTAACTCTGGTGATGACTACTTTGGGGAAAGGTTTATTAGGGGGGTTTGTTACTTTTTTCCTTAGGAGCAACACAAATGCCAGTTCCACTGCAGCAGAATGGAGTGGAAATCAACTTTTGCTAAGACTGTGGCTCACAACATGCAGAAACACTGCAGTTTGGATTCAGATCCATTATTTCTGTGTCTTTCTGAGACCTACCACACCTGTGGGATTTTAATAAAGTTGCATGCTGCCCTGCAGTGGCAACGTGCCCATTTGTTGAATGTTGGTCGTGTCCCACCTTACCTTGAGAAGCCAACATCTCCTGTAAGGAAGGATCTGCGTCTTCTGCATAGCAGCTGAAAGCGAGCTTTGCTGTAAACAAGCCAACTGAGCCCAACCTTAATGAAGCAAAGCATAATTTAGCCAGGTACCTGTCTGTATCAGTTTCTGACTATTGACACGTTTGCACTTTGAGACAGGTGGCTAATTATGTTGGGTGCCAAGTCTGTTCCAAGCAAAGGAAATGGATGTTAGAAAATCATAAACCGAGCATATGTTTCCCTTTCCTCAAGGGAAAGGTATGCTTCAAAACCAACTCCGTGAGGACGGGGGGACTGGGAACACAGGAATGACTTAACTGACGACTCATTTTGCTGGCAGAAATGTCATCACCATTGCAGAGACGAAGCATAGTTGCCACATTAACATTTGAAAATGATGTTTCTGAATAAAGATAACTGCCTAACGTTCTGACTTCCACTAAATATGTGAATTTGCTGCTTCTAAGAGGCAATGTGAAAGAGGAAGTATTACTTTTGTGTACAAAGTTATTTATTTATTAGAAAATTTGGTACAATGTTGTACATTGAAAAACATGTAAGATATTAAAGTGTCTAACAAATGCATTGAAGTGTCTTTAATAAAGGTTCATTTATAATATTACAGCTTTTTTGTTGAGTGAGCTTTTGGGAGTTTCAGTTAAAAACTAAATAAAATTCTAATACACTGCTATACTCTTTTCTGACTTTCTCTGATGAAGGTACAATATAACTGCCAGAACATCCATTTGTGAAGTCAGACCCACAAATGTAACCTCAGATACTGCAGAGCAGTGTGAGACTCTGGCAGTCTGACCTGGGGATGGAGTGGAAGTTGGGGGCTGCACTAAAAAATACAATGCAGAACTCATTTGAAAAACAATTCTAATACATGGACTGCTGAAGTATCTGGCAATTACTGTTATCTTGGCACTGAAAGCAGAACAGATGGGGTGTATGTGTAAGCATATAAGAAAAATGGGGCCAGAATAACTCCAGATTCAGCTGCAGTTGTGAACACCTTTGGCTTTCTCAAATTCAAACCCCACCCTGTCTAGAAATCACAGAGGCAACTTTGTGATTGAGATAAGCACAAATTCCCACTCTAACTAAAATCTCAATTCAATTTCTGTATATTAAAAAGTATTATTCAATTGCTAATTGCATACAGCACAGCTTTTCTGAGAGTATCTGATAATTCCCTTAACACATCTAGGAGTTAAAGTATTTTAAAATGGAAAAGAAAAACCCCTTAAGCCAATGCCTTGAGATTCAACATTATCCCAGGAATGGAATAAGATGAATTTTTCAAGTTTCAGTAAACTTGAAATAACTGCCAAAACATATCTAAGAGCTCAAGGCAAACAGGCAGGAGAGGAAAAACACTGAAGTGTATTTTTCAAGTCCTCCTCCCTTGTAGTCCCAGAACTAAAAGTGTCATTTCCAGCAGGATCAGTGCACAGCTGTGTGCAGAGCAGCCCCTGTCCCCACTTGCCTGCTGCCACATGGACAGGTCCTTCCTGCGGTGTGCTGGGAGCAGAGCAGGTCCTGCAGGGCACAGGAAGGGGACGTGCCTGGAGGCTGGTGGAAATACAGCAAACAGCTCAGTAAGGCAAACCCATGACAATTAATTAACTGCTGTGGGTTTTTTTTTTTTTTCCAACTAAATTTGCTCTCACTGCAGTCCCACATGGACATGGAGTGTTCTGCTGCAGGCTGACGCAGCCTGGGTACCAAACAAGCAGAAGGTGCTTTAACCTCCCCTTCTTACCCACTATTCAACCTCAGCAAAAATAAATAAATAACCAAATAAATAAATGAAAATAAAAAGCAAGCCTGAGCAAAAGCAGTTCTGCTGTTTACCAAACAGGCACAGACAAGCAGCCTTAATGTCACAGAACTGCAGTGGTTTCCCCCTATTCCACGCATAGTTAAGTTTGCTAAAAATTTGGCTACTTTTTCTAGGTGGTGATAACAAGAGCTGATCGTGTAAATATCAAACAACAACAAAAAAACCTGTATTAGGATGCGGGGACTGAGGCATGCTTACTTTCAGCTCGAGTAATTAAATACCCCAACAGCAATTCTGACCCTCTCATCTGTTTAAAGAGCTTTAATAGAAAATACGATGTAGCTTTTAAGACCGTGTAATAAATCTCCCACCCTCCAATGCCCCTAAAACTGAGTCTGCTATATATAAAAGTTCATAAAGGAGACAACCTTCGAAGTGCTGCACTGTGCCATGGAAACTGGGAGAAGCAAGCAGCCAAGATGGGACTTGGTTGCAATTCCCCATTTTAATTGACGATTATTTTTAGGAATTACGGTCTCTGTTCTGCACATTTTAGTTGCCTGCCAATGATTTTCTAAGTTTAGGACTCAGAAAAGTCCGATTGCTACGTGATGGGATGAGAGCATAAGAAAACATCCCTCTTTAAGGAGAACAACCAAAATGTTACACGGAGAACACAGGGAAACGCATCATCACAGACTTGACTTTGGTTACCTCACAAACGTTGAGCAGACGGGCAGGAAGAGCATCCCAGGCCTTTGTGCCCGCAGTGGCTGTGCATGCCAGGCAGCTGCCACATCCCAGCACTGACCAGCAGCCTCCCAGCCTGGCCCCCTGCATGTCACCACAGTGTGACCCGAGGAGACAAAAGTCTCCCAACAGCCTCCATCATGCTGACACAGCTGGGAACCTGCAGCCAGCCCAGGCCTCCCTGCACAAACACCCTCTGTGTCTAAAAACTTCCAAGCATCACGTAGCCCAGTAAACTCAGCCAATTATTTTTCCCCCTCGATTCTGGTGTTGATTTTAAGTTAGTAATTCCAATCGTGCCTTTTCCACCAAGCACGTCCCAGCACCATGTGGGCCACCACAGCTTCTCCTTCCTAGCACCACATGAGCACAGAGGATTGCTCTGCCTGCCAGCAGCCCCCAGGAGCGCTTTGGAACCACCCCAACTCATGCACTCCCTTCTGGGCTCTGCCATTCCCAATCCCTGCTCCTTCACTGAGGGAGGAAGACCAAGGAAAGGCCAAACCGCAGGTCTTTGCTGAGGCACAGCTGTAAAATAATACAAGCCCGTGCTTTTACTGGAGAAATGTGAGTCTAATTAATAACGCCACACTGGTTACCCTACAAGAATGCTTGCTGTGCACCTGTAGGTATAAACAGGAATATAAACTTTCACAAACACGGCTCAAAATCAGAAACAAATGGATGATTGTCTCTTACAAAGAGCCCTCCCAACCTGGAATACTGTCAGTGCTGTTGGAGGGAGGCAGGCTGTAAGTCTACCACAAACAGTAGAACCCTCCCAGTGTTACGAGGCAGGTGCCACTGAATTATGAACACTTGCTTTATTTCAGCTTCCCCGCTCAGCCCACGAGCTGGAGGTTTGCAAAACATTTCCCCTGCAGGAGTTCTAGCAACGCCTTTCACAGCCACCGTAATGAGCTATTTGCCCCCCAAACATCACTTTTTTTTGGCATAACTCTTACAATGACTTCACTCATTTTCCATGCAGGAAAAATTTCATGTTTGGGAAATTGGATTATTTGAGGATTTACTTTTCGTTAACAGTGAACGTGGAGTTCAGGCTGCTTGACAGCTGCTGTGGGCGCAGCCAAGAGGCAGCAGGAGGAAGAAGGCTGCGCTTGTGGGCAGACTCCTCCTCGGGGTCAGCAGCTTTGCAGGCTCTTCCACAAGGCCCAGCTCAGAGCAGCAGCTGGCGTGTCTTCTCATAGGTCCCCAGGAAGATGAACCCTCCCAGGCTGATGGCTGCCATCCGCGGGACGACACCTGCAAACAAGCTGGAGGCAAGGAAAAGGTGGCTTCAGAGCGTGAGCGGATGCTGCGTGTTTGGCTGCAAAGGCTTTGGGAAATAAAGCCAAAAAACCCCACCTCAGATGGGAGGCCACCCCATCCAGCCCAGCAGAGGTACACCAACATGGTCAGGATGCCTCTCTGCCGGGAGCTCCCGACAGACACAGCAGCACAGACGACTCCCAGTAACATGCAACAAGGCCAGGAGGGAGGGAACAGGAATAACCCTGTGTTCAGCCATGACGATTTTTGTGTGCCTGATCCCAACAGTTCTTGGAAGTTAACAGGAAACTCACGCAAAGCCAATTACTTCAACACATCTAAGCTTACAGTTGGTTTAGTAACTTCAGGATAGGCCAGTATTCCCTTCCAGAGGATTACAGGCTTCCTTTGCTGTGAGCAAGGATTAAACACTAGGCTCAAATCTATTTGCCTTCCTCTGCTGAGTGTTGGGAGGCCTCATGCAGCTCAGTCTGGGCTGCACAGGGATGCTGCTGCCCTCGGCTCTGCGCCATTCCTGGGTGTCTGTCCATGGTAGGCCTGCATGCAAACCCCCGGGAAACCAAGCAGCTCTGCTGTCTCCCTGTGCCACTGCTCACTCTGAGCTTGGGAAACCTCTGGCTGCAGTAACACTGTTTTTTGCTGTAATGAGCTTTGCTAAGGAGCCTGGAGCATACAAGCAGATGGAAACATTTTATGGCTTTACTAGACAGCAATTGGTCTATTACCATAATGACAGCTTTAAAACACAGTAATTTGTACAAGGCATGTACGGACAGCGCACTGATAGGGTAAATCCTACAGTGCAGCACTGCTCTCGGGACACACACCATCTTTCTCCTGCTGAATTAGACAGCCCTTATTACAGGAGCAATGGCAGGCATTCATTTCCAGAACAGCACATTCAGCACTCAGCTAGTACCCAAACAGAAGCAGATAACCTAGTTACCCAGCAGCTGTATCCCTGGCAGCACGCATTACTAACCGTCACTTCCAAGAACCCTAGACATGCTACCCCCAACTTCATTTTGTCACCTGCCACCATGAGGTCTGTCCCTCCCAGACCCACAGCTCCCCTGGGGCAAGGAGAGCTGAGCTGTGCTGCAGGCTGATCCAAGCTGGGCCCTGCTGGGGCACATCTGCCCCATCAGTTGATGAAATAAACGGTTTGTTTTCCAGCAGCCCCACCAGAAACCCCTCTGATGGGCACAGTTGTGCCATCTATTTGTATCTGCACAGATTTTTGTTTGTAACGATTCCATCTTTGACCCTGCCCCTCCTGTAACAGTGCTCTGTTCCCACTGGGGTTTTCCCTGTTGCTGAAGCACGTCTCCCAGCCACTAATGAGATCCAGCACCAACAGCTGGATGGCCTCAACAGCTGTAATAAAAGCACAAAACATGACTGGCTGGCAAAGAATAACGGTGAGCTTTCAGGTAAAGATACATCATGCTCTCCTCAACCATACCATTCGAAAACCCAGGAGTAACATTTAAATTCCAGGAAGAGGCCTGGCTGCAGGTGTGTTAAACCCACACCACATGCCCTCCCTTCCATCTGGGTGCAGCTCTGCATTTCAGCATTCCTAACCCAGAAACAGACCTCAGTCCTACAGCTCCAACACCAAACATTACACCTCAACAACCGAAAGCAGCAAGCCCCAGGCACAAGGGCTGCTTACATGACCCACATCTGTGAGATCAAACCCTGGAGACCAGTGTGGTGCTGCCCACCGTGCCACACTGCATCCTCACAGTCTTGGAAGCTCAGCCATGGACCTGAAGCAGAGAAATGGAGCTCTGTCCCCAGTGAGCACAAACTGGGACAAGCCACCTAACCCGATCTTCCCCATCAGTCAAATTAAACCTGTCTTTCTCACCAGTGAAGCTTCATCCATGGCTTTCAACCACCACCACCTCCTTGCATGAAAAGCACTCAAAAAAGATAAATTTGATAGTTCATTCCTCCATTGGTGGGACCTAAGGGGCACACAGATCCATTTGCCTCATTTCTACTCTATCTCCTCTGCAGGCCTGTCTCTCTGGACAGAAAGGGATGTGAAATTTCTTGGCGTGAAGCAGAGGGATTTACTAGGTGCAAAACAGGAAGTTGAGCCCTGCGCTCTGGTTTTAATAAGGTGGCAATAAGCAATGCATCTTTCTGCCCCCAGAATTCCTCCTCTTCAAATACAAGATTTATTAGAGAAGTCGTAAATCACTTCATGTTGCAACTGGCCAAAAAAGCCCGACATTTTTATTGTTTTTGATAAATAGATTTATAATTGGCAGCAGGCATGGCAGTCTCTGCGTTTATTTTTCCCAAGACTTTCTTCCTTTTCCTTGCAGCTGACACAGCTTGGCCTACTTTATATTTTACTTTTTCTCTAGATCACTTATTGTTTTGATTTCAATTGAATTGCATTCCCTTTGGTCCTAGTCCACGGGTACTATCTTTAGGCAGAGTTTAATCAGGGGTTATTTAGAAAAGGGCACTGCTGAAACACCCTGAAAAGAACATAAATATCTATTTTTATTTTCTGCTCTTGGCAGAGGGAAGGGGAAGCTTCCCCCAGCCAAACCCATCTTGTTATGCCCTCCCATCAGCTGCACAAGAGGACCTGAAATGCATCCTCAGATGGACACCTCAAAGAGAGAACCTGAGACAACCATCCATGCTGCCTGGTGGTGTACACAGCTGGACAGCTTCCTGGAGTGACTGTCCAGAACTTCCTGCAATTTGTTTCAAATTATTTCCCACATGTGTAGAAAGAGGACTGAACTTTTACTAGCCGTGTGATCACGGATCAGATGTTAAGAGAAAACTATCTCCTGCAAAGCCAAAATGTACATGCTGCTTTCAAGCAGCAGTTTACAACTGTTAGAACAGCACCCCAAAAGTATCAGCCACATCAGGAGGATTACAAGCATATAAAAATTACAGTGAAAAGCTCTGAGTAAAACTTCCACAAAAACCTTCATTTCTCTTTCAGCTCAAGGGTAGGTGGGACACAGAACCCAGCAAAGGAAGCACAGGCTGGACCTCATGGGCCAGAGGAGCCTCTACTGGCTGAGGTTGAGACGAATATTCTGTATATTGACTTTGAGAGACCAATAACCAATGTGACTTGCACTCAAAGAGGGCAGGGTAACATAAATGAAGCAGGTGTCTAAAATCTAATAATAATTTACAAGCCCGTGACACTTTCTTCAAAAGCTCTCAAAATGTTCTACAAATGCTACCAAAGGACTGTTTTTTCACAGCATCGCTCCAAGGTCAGAAGAGCAATTCTCATTCTCAGGAATGAGTAAAGTGAGGCAAATTAAGAGATTGAATTGACATCATCCCAGACTTCCTATAGCAGTTAGAAGAGAGCCCAGAACAACATTTCTACACCCTGGTGACAGCAGGAAAGCAGCTGGAGAACTGCTCTGGAGCTGCTCAGATTGATTTAGATGATGCCTGTTACAGAAAACCTACACTTTTTGCCATGAGTGCTTCCATTATGCTTCTCGGTAAGATCAGCAAGTGTAAAGGAATAGAGGACACCTTGCAAGTGTGAACGTCAGTAGGAAGCTGCCAAGAGAAAACCACCCATAATGGACACACAGCTCCTGTGCTGGCGATCCCTGTTGTCTCAGGAGGTGATGTGATTCACACACCTTGAGATTAAACTGTGGTACTAATGCCACAAAACTGTGTGCATGACCAAAGCTTAAAATGGATCCATAACACATATTCATGGAGGTAAGTCCATCACAGGCTGTTTAACACAGAGCTGTTTTCAGCTCAGAAGTCTGGAGCTAGCCTAAGACACGGATCCAGGGAAATACACCCAGTAACATCACTTCGGTTGTCTTCCTTGGACACTGCTCCTAGCCAATGCTAAAGACCAATCACTAGACTGGAGACACCTTCATTCTGACACAGGACAGTTGTTCTTACCTACCTGAGAGCTGCTCCCTGTCCAAGCACACAACAATTAAAAAACTTTTTTGTATGACACCATTTAAACACAAGCAGGCCACTGTCCCCCCTCCTGGCCCTCCCCAGGCACACAGATACACTTGAGCTGTGCTTCTTCAGCACGTCCTTACCCTGGCAGTCCTTGCGTCCTCCAGATGCCACCAAGGGCAGCCAGAACGTTTCCGCTAGCAGTGGTGGAACCAGCCTGCACCAAAAGAGAGAGAGATCAAAAACTGTTGCCAGAGAGGTTTAGTTATTTATTAAGCACCCAGTCCCTCATTAGCGCTACCTTACACCAATTACAAAGGTCCTAATGACCTCCTTACTCCAACAGAGGCAAAAGCTCATTGTCTCTGGAAATGAGGCAGAGGACAGAAGGGGAAATGTAGGCACAGAAGAATGAAACAATCACCCCAAGGTCACAGAGCTGGCTAATCACTGAATAGGGGCTCCAGTCTCTCCTGCACTACACTCTGCTCTACATTCAGCAACTGACTCTGAACAATATTAATAAAAGTACACTTGTAGAGTAGCAACAAGTGACTTTGTTACACACTGGCTTCAGACTCAAACAATAGCAGCCTGGAGATTAATTTAAGAAATGCTAATTACCAACAATGTTTAAAAAACATGAGCAGTGTTTCAAATGGGAAAATTACCTTGAGTGAAAAACAGAGGACAAACACCAGGACTACAGGCAATTAAATTACATGTGTGATCTAGTTAGTGTGAGATGACTAATGGTCTCAGAACATTTCAAAGCACCACCATTCCCTTGCCAGTGCTGACCTGGTTGCTGAGGACAGCAGCAGACAAATGAAATCCATTTCCTAGAGTTTTATCACTAATGCTGTCCAAAGGCAAAGAAGCTGCATCAGGAACAACACCCAGCAATGAGAGATATGACAACACATGGTGAGCACAGATGCACATGACTCAGCTGAGGAGGTGCATGCCAGCAAGGATAAACATCCCTTTACTGAAAGATATGAGCCATAGGGTAAAAAAGATCCACAGAAATTCCAGGGTGCCTGACCTTTGCCAACATAACAACTCTTTTCAAGGCAGGAAAAGGCTTTAGGAACACCAGGCTTTAAGTTATGTGGCTTGCTTAGCTCTGCTCTGGATCAGTGAGAACGATGGGAATACTAGATTTATTAGCACTTTAACTGCTCACTAAACATACTAATCTTACAAGCTATTTTCCTTCTGCCTTGGATGGCAGAACTAAGTCATCATGATCTCTGTGGTTTAAAAACGTAGGATGAAAATCTAGTGTCAAGCTCTCCTCAAAAACCACACACACAGAAACCACTATCAAAACAACAGAGGAATAAATCCCTGTTGGGATGTTTAACTTTGGGCATCGCTGCATGAGCCTCAGCAAGTCTGGGGTCCACCAGAACTGCAGCACCTTCTCAGACAGCTACTTTGGGAGAAGACTAGAAAAATAACTCAAGGAACACAACACAATTTCATTAATTTTGCACATAGTGCCTGTTCAAATCTAATCCTGTCTTCAATGAGAAGAGCAGAAGTCATTATTAATATGCTCTGAATTTCATTCTGTAATGACCGCTGAGACACTCTGAAGCTACCCCTGCCATTCATCTGCATGTCTGCTGCTATTTCCCACTCTTACCTTTGCCAGCATAATTCTTGTCTTCGCTACATCCAGAGGTGTGGTAACTGCAGCTGCAAATCCACCTGAGCAAATTAAAACACCAAAAACAAGTGAGACATTGTTGGTTAAATATAATGCCATACTACCTATAATTCTCATGGTTGTGGTCAACACTGCTTCGTTATTAATGCCTACAGCATGTTTCCTCAAACCTGCTTGCTCACGAGCAGAGAAGGCAAAATAAGCACGTCATGTTGTGCTCTACCTTGAGAATTAAAGTCTAAACATTGACATTTTAGAAGGAGAGGGAAGATGTTCTGCATCTGAAACACGGAGACAGACTGGACCTGAACTTCAACTGTTAGACCTGAGATTCTGCTTCAAGGGAAAAAAGACAAGCCACAGTTTGGGATGGAGCTCACCTCCAATGAAAATCAGCTCAATTTTGGAAAACAGCAACGTGAAACTGTTGGAAATTGTCAGAAGTCTGCTGCCACAATTGCCATCTTCTCACAGGCAGTTTTATTCTCCCTAATCACTCCCAAACTTCACCCTTGGAGCTCATTACTTTCACTCAGAGCAGCCAGCTCAGCTGTGGCTTTCGTCCCAAAAGCCAGAAATCTTAAGCTTATCCATGTGCATGTCTCACCCACAAGTGTGTGTCTATTTCTCCACATTTTAACACTGTGGCTACAGTCTAGCCTCTTGCACTACCTAGAGACCAGCTTTGCTGCTTTTTCTCCTGGGCTCTTATTCCCTTTGCCTTATTTCACCATCCTAAAATTAACTCTGATTTCTCTCTGCCTCCTCTATTCACAGTATTCTAAGCAAGTAATGCATGCTGAGGAGGAGCCAAAGTGAAGGAAGCTTCTAAAGCACTGGAGCAGCACAGCAGTAAGTGAAGAAAGCAAAGGAAAGGAGGGAAGAAAGACTTGTTCTGAAATCTGTCCTTTGTGTTCCCTTTGGTTGTTTTTTGTTGTTTTTTTTTATTTCGCTCCTCTGGAGCTTGGATAAACTCTCAATCTGCTACAGCGAGGAAAAAAGTGACTCCATGGCTGAAGCCTACACAGTACCCAGGGAATAAGCTAAAAATAACCTATTTTTTGCTCCAAGTTTTCTGGAATGTAGAAAAATTGATCTTTTCTTTTCTTGGGATGGAAAGGGAGAAAACATTTCTGTTTTCTGACAAGTAATGAAAAAAATGTCACCTCCCCAGGTGGATGGTGATTTTACCTGCACCTCTCACAGCCACCGCAGCTGTAACACATTAAAGCCCTGCTTTCTGTCAGACAGGGGCTGGCCAGCTGGCACCCTGTAATGACTTCTCACAGCTAATTAAGGAAGGTCCCATGATAATTCAGGGTGTGCAGTAAGGCAAGCGCGCAATTCCTTGGATCTCAAACAAGAATAGCAGGGAAGCAGAGTTAATGAACGCCCTGTTTAGAGCAGCAGCTTCTGCTCACAGAAGGTCAGCCCATCAGCTTCACTCTGCCGGAAGTTTTCTAGCAGTGACTTCTCACTAAAAAGCAGAAAAATGGGTTGCGCTCAAGAAGCCAAAGCAGAAACTATGAGCAAGTTGAAGTAAATTCCAGCCCGTTCCTGGACCTTCTTTAAGGTCAAAAATCTTTTCATTGTGAGCCAGTTTTTGACTAAATGACCCTAAAGGTTTTGAGAGAACGATTGGGTTAGAAACCTGGTACTCGTGTCAGTGATGTATTTTTAGAGTAATTAAAATAATCTCCATGGAAAATGGTGGATTTACAAGGCTGGATGTGGAAGTTCTTCCTTTGCCCACAAATGAAGATACAACTGAACAGTGAATCACGTGGCTGTTGGATGTGTATCAAGCAAAGATCTCAATACAGCACTGAGCTGTAGAGGTGATGGCAGCACTGCAGTAAGGCAAACTTACTTTCCCTATTGGAGCCTGTTAATTTTTTTAAGCAACCATTCCTAACATTTTCTTATTGGCAGGATCAAACTCAGTTGACAGCATTTTGAACAAACACAATTCATTCTGATACAACGTTCCAAAACACTCTTATCTAAACAGTTTAATCAAGACTGATTGGTTTTCATTTTTCCCCAGCTAACATCTGGATCTTGCAGACTCCTTGGTTATTAACTTTTCAGTGTTTCTTTTTCCATCACTGGGAAGTATTTGGTACAGATTTACCAGTCAATTTAGAAAGACAACAGCAACAATAAAATGCTTCACAAGCACAACAGCAGGATAAATTAAATGCAAGTTTGCATACGCTTAACAAAAACACAAGATTAAAGTTAACATTTATAGGGAACATTTTATTGTGGGCAATAAGTCCGACAAAATGAACGTGCTTCCAGCCTTAACCCTAATTAACCAAGGTAATTTTAAAGTGACCTCATCAACAATACTGCACGGTTATCTCACAACTCCAAGAGCTGTCACACACAGCTGATAATGTCTGTTCAACAGTGAGAAAAAATAAGGTATCATAGTGTGAGGGGGAAAGGAAAGGCCTAGACACATCCAACTCCTGCTCGTGATCATTCTGTCTTTGTAGAGCTACCAAAGAGAAAAGGCACCTCCAGAGCAGCCTGGGAGCAGATGAGTAGACTGACTTACCAACTCACTCATGGAGAAGGCTCCTTTTATCCCTTGCCCTTAGAAGGATCTTGAGCTCAGCAAGTAGGCATAAAGATAGATTTGCACACAGGAAAAGGCTTTTGGCTTGTTAGTGCTTCCAGCAGGGCAACAAACACTTCTGGTGGGAAAATAAAAGTTCATGCTACTGGAAAATTCATCACCTGTCTCCCAAGAAGTTACAATGGACACTGTATATTCACATGTGTCAACTGAACAGCCTAAAATTTACCTAGTGCAGGGTGTTAAACAGAAAATCCCCCTGCTACTCACACTTTCCCACTGACCAGATCTTGATGGAAGTGCTAGAGACAGACATCCACTGTACTGAGGCCAAGCAGAGAGCAATTTAACTTTACTTGGCAGTAAGAATAAAAAGTCTTGAAGACTTCAAGATAATCCTCTAGGTTGCTGCTGGCATTTCCTATCGTTCTTAGCTGTCATATGCAAATAGAAATTGAGAAGCATCAGAACAGAATGAAGTACTTCATTTGAGAACAAGACATAACTCTAGGTCCTAGTGGTAAGGAAGCAGTTCTCGATTTGAAGATGTATTTTACTGATATTAGGTTACTTTTAAGAAGTTGATTCTGGTAATTTATCACTGCAAGGATAACAGCTGCCAGTGGCAGAGCAAAGTGACCTCAGCAGAAGTACCAGGAGGAGAAGCACTGCTCTTCCAGTGATTGAACTGGTCTGGATTTAGAAGCATGGTCCAGGCAAACACTGAAGGGAGATCTTGAAAACTACTCAGAAATGTATTCAGAGCTACAGAGTTGAAGAGGCTTTCAGACACAGTGTGTAATCTTGTCAGAGCCAATTAGATCAAAACAAAAGTGATGGGAAGTCCCTCCTGTTAATGTGCAAAAAGGTCTCGTTAGTGCTTTTATTATTCACTAGGCTTGCACCTCCATTCTCTGTGACTCTGTCAAAACAGAGCACAAATTATTAATGTTAAGTTGTTTTTTATTTTATTTTATTTTATTTTTATTTTTAAACTCTGGGAGAAAAAGAAAGCATTTTCAATAGAGGCAGTTTTCACACTAAATGAGCACTCTGGTGCTCTGACAAACAGGAGCAGTATCACTGTTGCAGGGCAGTGCTTTGCTTTCCTAACAAAGGTCAATACCCACCGGCAGAATTTCCTTGTCACCAGCCCAAATCTGCGGAGGGCACCAGAAACCCACACAGGACTCTTCTGGGACAGTCCATAATACAGATCTACTCCTGAGTTCCTCCCCACTGCCTGCTCACATATCTCCTTCTCTCAGTCCCTGACTGCTCCAAGTGTCTCTTCTAGTTGATACACCAGAGATGATGAGAAAGCTGGACAAAGCCTCTGGGGATTAAATTATTAACAGATGAGACAGAGAAGATTCCAAATATCTGATATTTATGTTCATGCCTATTACGTTTCTATAAAAAGCCCATGGATAGCATACATACATCCTACACATGTGTGCTCACCAAGAGTTGGGCCTCTCATAGCACTTTGGCTGAAATCTCTGTTATTTCACAGGCACTGGGGATGGAATTCAATATATTGTTACTCTTCATCCCGTCTTTGCCAAACAATCAATTACGATGTAGCTAGGAGCAAACCAACACACTCAGACACATGCATGTATGTGTGTGCTCACCATAAAGGGAAGCCAAAGAGGACCTCTCATTCAGTTTGTTTCAGCTTATTACCCTGCCCCTCAGGATCTCTAACATATTTTTAGCAAGTATTGAATTCAAGCAAGGAGCACAGGAGAAAAGCACGTCTGTGTGACTTCTCTAACCCACAACTACCATGGTGGCATTTGATAGCATCTTTGCATTTAAAAGCTGGATTTTGGATAATCTTCTCCATTGGAGGTTTATAATGTGATGATTTAAACTCATTCAGATGCATAAATACATCCTATTTTCTTCACAGGATACTGGTGGCATTTCAATTTTTGCTTTGGGTGGGGGAAAAAAAAAAAAGGGATAAAATGTTTGGTCTGGTTTTTCTTCCCTCATTTGAAGCTGTAAGTAGGTAGTTAATCGTTTTTAATGTGGAATAGAAACTTCAGAAAGCAGGAAATTATTTTTCCACCTCCTCCATTCAGTAATGGGGCTAAATATTTTCAGTAAAACAGAATGGATACAGGGCTGGTTTAGTCCAATGCAGATTCTGCCTGCTGTATGTCTGCAGAGGGAGGGAACGAAAGGTAAGGTTCTGATCCAAAGCCAGTTTAACCTTGCGAGTTTTGAAGCAGGCTCTCAATGGACAACTCAGGGAGTTTAAAATGTTGCTAGTGAAAAGGAAAGAATGGAGAAAGAAAGAACAAAAAAGGAAAACCAGGTTGGAGAAACTGAAGCTGCAAAGTCAACCACAGAATATATCATCATTGGTTTCATCACAATATACAAAATGGAACTCCAGTTTTGCAAAGATTCCTGCTTTGGGAATAGAGCTTATGAACTGTCTCATTGAACGTGAACCTGGGACTCTCTGTGCTGCTTCAGGACCTGGTGTCCCCTTGAGTATGAGGTGTCAGGTCTCCCAGTGCACGCCAAGGGCACTGAAGCACCCATGCATGATTGTGCCTCTGGAACCTTCTTCTGCATGTTTCCACTGGAAAGTGAGCACGTACTACCAAACATCCATCAAACAGTAGCAAGTTCAAGCACAACTGGCCAGAATCAAGACATAGACGGAAGGAAACGGAGGCACCAGGCTAAGTTTCCAACCGAGGCACCAAATTGGACTTCAGGAAATTACTCCACAAAGCCTTGGGTAAATCAGATAACCTTTCCAGCTCTCTGAACGTGCCTGAACACAGTTTTTGTATCAATCTGACTGTAAAGAAATCAACACAGTTAAATTAATGATCTCCTATCACACCTGCAGAGACCCAGATTGCATTTTAAAGCATTTTTAGCCTGATAGCTTGTTTGGTTTCAAAACAAAAATGAACCATCTGCTTCAACTGCTCTCATTTTGTTTGTGCTGATTAAGTCGGTGTAAAACCCAAAAGCAAACCAAATTTTAAGCAGAATAAAAACTTTTCACATCAAATAATCATAGAAAATACAGCTGGACACACAACAGGTTGCCTAAAATACCCCCTCTGGCCCCAAACTGAATCAATTCTACTCAAACTATTCCCCTCATTGCTCGCATGCCTGGTCTTCTAAACTGAGTGCACTTATAGCCATCAACCCTCTCTTCTCAGCTGTGTCATTACAGTGCCTACCAAAAGGAAGCCTCAGACACTGCTGGAATTCTGTTGCTATTAATATTTCAATTCCCATAAGAGAGTTTATTTTTAAAAATTACATACAGTGTAACAGCTCTGACTTTACAAGCCATCAAAGAACAAGCTTTGCTTTTGATAATCTCTATTTCAAGAAATGCTATAATTTCTGTTTAAACAGGATTTATTTTTTCTACATACTGTGTTACCGGTTTAGAATCTCAAAATGTATTTTAATTCCTTGGGGAAAAGCTCTGGTTATCCATCTCTGAACTACTAATCTGTTTTTCTATTAAGACAGTTAAGTCTCTCCTCCCTCTAACTTGTCAGCTATACTGATGAGTCATTAATTGATTTTTTTTTAATTTTTTTTTTTTTTTTTAATAACTACAGTAGTCTAAAATCAAGCAAGAAGGCTACTGAAGAATTCAATTAACTTCTGGCTTGTTTGGTAATAAATAGTGCAGTATTGTATTCTGCCACTCTTCATTCTTGTTCTAGTGTCTGGAGATTGCCCAGATGTTTCACCCTCGGTTTTTTTTTTGCTGCGGAAGGCTTTTGCCTCCAGGCTGTGCAGTGCTAGCCTCTGCTCTCCTGACTCTAGTTAATCTACATGGCTGTCAGAGCTGTCACATGAATGGTGAATCATGGCCTCTCACTGCAATCACTTAAAGCCCTGGGGAAGCGCTCGGAGCAGACAGCTGCACAAACCCGCACCCAAGCAAAGTTTCTCCTGGATGAGGATTTTACAAATCAACTTGGAAATAATCGCAAAGCCTGACTGACAGGCCCCTGGATTTTAAATAACAGAAATTTGTCAAAAACAAATTGGTTGTCTTTCAAACAGACACCTTGTTTGAGTCGGTCTTTTTTTTCCCCTCCTCTTTCCTTTGCTGACTTTCCTACTTCCAAATAACAACTGGATCCATTTTCTTCTAAACAAACTTGAATTACAAAGGAATGTTGTTCTGCTATACTTAATAGATTTGCACATTTTTCCTTTTCTTCTTTAGTCTTTCCCAGTATAACATATAATCCTTTGCACCTGCAAAAGCTCCACAGACTGCTGACTGCCAAGAATCCACCACGTGACCCTGCTTCCATGACCAGAGATCCTGTGTTTAAAGAGAAAGGAAAATAAAAAAGTTATTAAATGTTTGAATCTATCTGATCCCCATGCGAGTTAACTCCGAGGATGGGAACTTAAGCGAAAAGCTATTTTTGTGGCATTTTTCAGTGATGTAATAAGTGATTTTTCCCAAGGAACTTGTGTACTTGAACGAGCAGATGGAGTGAGAAAGATGTCTGGAACGGAGGGCGGCTTGAAGCAAATTGCTTTCAAGGATTTCATATGTATGTATTTAAGCCTGTGGCCATGTAACCTTGCAAACATTTTGTGAATTTATTTTCTTTTTGGCAGATAAAACCATGCAAAGCAAAACATTGTGTGAAGGGGGGCAGCACGCGGGCAGCAGCACCAGCTCAGCCCAGATCCATCCAGCGCTCTCATGTAAGATGAGCAGTCCCTGGTCCAGTGTGATATGAATTGTTTGCTCTCCTTCACTTCTTAAATCAACCCTTCCCCTTGTGCTCCCAAAAGAAACCATCGTTAAGAAAATTACTCTTATCGCTCCCATTATATTCAGGAGCAGGTGTGTCTGTTTTTCACTTGGCGTCATTAGGGACCACACACCCTCCTCCTTGCCCCTGCTCCCACACACCACGCTCCAACCCATTAAACTCTCATGTAAACATGCACATTCTAAAACACCAACAAGAACCATGTCTTCTAAAAAACAAGTACTAAGAATCAGGGCAAACACACAGCTTGAAGACTCTGGTATCAGCAGCAAGGCCAAAGCTTGCTTGGGTGGGTTTTTATTCTGCCAGCTATAGTCGCTGTTCTGTCCTCCTCCACCCCCCTCATCATCCCTATCCCATCTTTTGAAATGCTTAACACTGGATGTTCTTTGGAGGAGAGATTTCTGTTTTATGAGCTCAGGAATGCTGCTTAGCAGAAAGGGGAGGATCCATGGCCCTTCTGAGGCCTACTGCAGAGAAATCAATAATTTTATTTTATAACTACTGCACCACCTCACTCCTTTTAAAGCTGTATTATTTCTACACTATAAAATTTTCTTGAAAGCAACCCGATAGCTAGGCTAAGCTGAGATATTGCTCTCAGGCTCCTGCTCTGCTATGCAGCCACACTCCACTGGGGCACAGGAACTCATTTCCCTCATTTGCTGACTCTTGATTTAACATGCTGTCCTTGTGACTCGCTTCTTCCAACTTGGCTGGTGGTTATATTTCAGCTGAATGTTTTAAAAATCAAACTGTTCAAGCAACAATGGCCAGCCACAATGTTGTTTGGTATCCTGCCACAGCTAAATAGCTGCAGCTCTGCTTTACGAAAACACTAAAGGGATTTCAGCCTCTTTAATGCTAGCCATTCTTTTTCCTGGTGTTTTCAGAATGTTTTTCTATTCTTCTGTCAACCACAGCAGAAAATGATCTTCATCTTATAAATAAATAAATAGGGAATCATAATTCTTCAAACCCATAAGATGCTTTTCTGGAATAACTCACACTCTTTGGACATGCAGCTTTCTTGCAAGTCAGTCCTGCTGGATGAAGGATGCATGCTTCATCAGAAGACAGGGAGCACTGCTCCAAAACATCTAGGCATTGTCAAAGCATAAATCCCATCTTCAAAACCCTTCTCACAATACTTAAGGAGCTTAAGAAACCTCAACCTGAAGGTCAAGGCTTAGAAATTTAACTGCTGCAGCACCTTGACAAAAATAGCACTGCATTTTTTAATTAAAAGTTCTTCAAATGCATATACACCCACAGTTCAACCTGAGAACTCGCAACTGTTACTTCTGCTATGCAAAGACCACTATGCAAGATCTGTTGGATGACTAACAGGAAAACGAACATATTAATGCAGACATTCAGAAGCCCAGCCTATACTCACTCATGATGGATTTCTGCATCAACGGTGTTACTGAAACAGTTCTGTGTGTCATTCTTATTAATTGGCTTCTAAATCTGAAATCTAGTTTCTGATAACGTCTGGCCTCCTGGTACAGGTCTGCACAAACCGTGATGAATTCCCATCCATCATGCCCGCAAATTGACAACAGGTATTTGCAAGTGTCACATAACATGGAAAATTATTTAGAAGGGTGGAGCCTGAGACAGTTCAATTAAATTAGGGTAAAGGAGAACAGGAAGAAAATTCCCCAACAGTGAGGTCTACTGAATAGCAGAGCCAGCCTCCCCAGGGAGGAGAGGAAAGCCCTCTCCTCTGAGTCATTTAAAAATAGACTGGAGAAGGCACTCAACACTGTACTGTGGGGAATAATCCTGCATTGGCAAGGGCAGGATGAGATGACTTCATGCATTTCTTTCCATCTCTGATTTCAGTGATTCACCCAGAGCTCCAAACCTGAATATGCAGAAGAGCAAGAGAGAAGCAAGGAGAGAGAGAGGGAAGCCGAAAGGAACAAGTGCCATGGAGCCAAGAGGCCTGGCAGGACCCTGCTCCAAATTCTTCCTTACCACGCTTGCACCACGGGCTGGGCTGATGTGCTGAAGGTCATGCATGGCCCAATCACTGACAGGGCCTTACAGGGCTGGTAATATCTTCAAAAACACCTGCCCACGTGCTGCATTAAGTGTGGTTTCAGTACTACTAATACAGTGCAATGCAAAGAAGCTACGACAGGCTGCAGACATGGGTAATAATAGCATCACTGAAAAAATAGGGCCTCATTCCTGAAAGGAAATATATGCCTTATTCACCTATATGAAAATATTGACTTCTGATGGAATTGCTTATTACTGCCACAACACAAGACTGGGGTCAGAGCTCCCTGCTCACAGCCTCCAAAGAGGCCAAGTCCAGGCAGAAGTTCATGTGTAAGCCTTGCAGTGATTCTGCTTTTACTAGATAGGTTCTTCCACTGCAAAACCCAAACGGGAACTGCTAGCAACACAATGGCAACAATCCGATTAGCCTGCTTTCACCACTACCACTCAGCTCCTACCTGCTCGCACTGCTCATCTCCTGCAGAAGGCAGCAGGAGATAGAGACTTTTCCAGGGCAGTACCCATTCCCGTTAGCATTCACAGCCTAGGAAAGCAAAATGACAACGAGCACATTACATGAAAGCAGGCCGCCATGCCAAGCCTGTGTCATGTGTATTCTATTAAGCTGAAGGCTGAATAGAAGACTTTGTTTTCCACTTCAAAGGACCCCATCCCAATCTCTCGCTCTTCCCTTATGAATAACAAATTGGAAATAAATCTTCTGGCTGAAGTGCATGGAAACTCATACAGTTGGGGCCCTCTGCAGCTTCCCAGCTCAATCACATGCTAATTTTTTTGTAAACACTTTTATGTGATATATATGTAAATCTCCCTGTGCATTGCCGCACCATGTAAAGCAATACAGCAGCTGTGTCCTCCAGGGACTGGACCCAGCAGGAAGCCTGAATGCAGATCTCCAATTATTCCCAGGGATAATGTTTGCAGAGAAAGGTCCAGTTTTATTTGCGAGCAGTGCCTTAATTTCTTCCTAATGATTCCATTTCATACTGTCCCAGAGGACAGTATCCTCTACTTCTCACCTCAAACATTAGTTTTTTCAATACTGAGAATATAATCACATCTGGACACCCCATTTTGCTGAGCAAAGGGTGCTCTGGGAAAGTCCCTCTTAGGATGCATCAAAGGCCTTTCAATAAAAAAAAAAAAAAAAGAAAGAAAGAAAAAAGAAAGAAAAAAGAAAACTTTACAGTCTCCTTCAAATCCAGAAGGAGTTATATATAGTGCCCACAGACGTGCAGCACTCAGAAGGCTGCTTGCATGTTGAGGACACCTGGCCTCAAGATGGCCCAATAACTTCTTATTCATTCAAAGAACTCCTTACCTGTGTGTTTGCCATATCTGCCTTACATTCGTGGTAAAAGTTCTGGGCAGAGATCATCTCCCAGCTTCCTGTTCACAGCACCGTCAGGTCTTGGTCTATACTCAGGACACCTACATTATGGGAATACTGGGACAGCACAACACTCACGTTTCTCTCTCAAACCTGATGACCAGAACAATATCTCAAATGCTGCCAGAGGCATTGCAGACCTTTGCTTTGGCCTTACTACTCTTCAGTCACCAACAGGTAAACAGATCTCATGATATACTCTACATTTGAGGCATGAAGCTGAGAAAATACTACAGCTCCCTCCAATGATAAGTACCTATAGTATTTCTATGCATCTCACACTGATTTGTGCATATATACATTCTTGCGGTCCGAGGGAAAAAAAGCTATGTCCATGCTTGCCTTTACTATTAGGTATTTTATTTTTATTCACAACGTGGCATTCTGCATGGCTGATCCTTACAAATGCATGGCACATTAACTACAGGAGAAGCAAAAATTTCATAAGCAGATTGCAATTTCTAGACATAAAGGCAAAAAGCACAGAGACAAATGTTGTTCCCAGTGAATTTTTATGTGCATATGTGCAGCATGTGTGCAGTACATGTATATATTACCATGCAGGAAACATGCAAGCTCAAACATGGGAAAAATTCAGTGAAGTAAGTTAACTGTTGACAAAAACGTTGAGATGCTTTTCACACTAATGGAGTTGTGCTCTCTTAGGCCAGTACTGATTTTGGCCCTAGAATTAAACCCACCCAAATCCCAGATAAATTGAGAGAAAGAGAACAAAAGTTGGCCTACATGCAACAGCATATTTTTCATGTTAAAAGCGTTTCATTCCCTTTTTCCCCCTCTATATAATACTGCATTGATGCCTGTGACCCATTTGGATGTAAATCAAAATGGATGTGCTAAAAGCCTGGTTAAAGAAAATGTCTTCGAAACACTGTTCCCATGGCAAGGCAGAACATAATACGGCAGCCACACTCAGTTTCCATGGCACAAAGAGCCATATACGTGTCTGGGAAGGAAAACACAGTTCTAAGAAATCACTTCAAAGCTAGGCCAGCTTTCCTTGAGCATACATACCGCTACTACCTGCTAGTAAAAAGGTGTTTCACACAGACTTGTGTGAATACATTTCATAGAAGAATTACTAGC